CGGCGGCGGCGGCGGCAGCTCGGGCTGCGCTCGCCGGGAACAAAGGGGCTGCTGCCCGCGCCGAGCCCCGCGCCCGCGGAGCCCCGCGCCATGCGCCGCGCCCGGGCGCTGCTGCCGCTGCTGCTCTGCAGCCTGAGCGCGGCGCAGCCGCCCGACACGCAGTAAGTACCGGGCAGGTAGCGCGGGGCGCCGGGGAGCCCCGGCACCTCCGACGGCTCCGGAGCTGCCCTCCGATGTCTGCGGAGCTGCCCGGCCAGGCGCTGCCCACGCCGCGCCGGTGCAAAATTGCACGGCGAAAATAACCCCAAAAAAAGGCAAGAAAGGGCTGCTGGCGGTACCTGCGTGCAGCCCTGCGCGGGCAGCGCTGCTTTTATCTGGCAGCAGCTATTCGAGGAATCCGGGAGCTGCGCGAGGGCTGCTGCATATGGAGCCCTTGTGCTGGGCACCCTGCAAGGAGCCCTTCCCGCAGGGGAAGCTCCCCGGACTGCAGGGACCTGAGTCCCCAGCTCGTTGCAGTCACTTTGGGTTAACTTTGGGTCAGGTTGGCTTTGTCCTTCGTTGCTGAGTCGTTGCAGCCTGCGGACTGGGTGAAAAGCTGCATTAATGAGTGTCCCGGAGAGCCTCTTATTCTCACTCTCTTCCTAGAAAATATTTCGTGACTTGCCAAGCTTTGGTGAAACCTGACGGAGCTGCTCAATAAATGTGCTTATGGGATCTGTCCAGTGCCTGTCAAGTTAACTGTTTAACTGCCAAGTTAATATTMAAGTGGCACTTATTAAGGGACTTAAATAGTTGTATCAGCAGACCGGTACTTCACAAAGAGTTGTTGCAGTAATTGTGCATGATGTGAGTACATGTGCTTCACATATGGCACTATAGCGCTTATGTGACAGTTTAATCATTTCATCCTGGATGCAGATGGTATTTTTTTCTCTTTTTCTAAATAGATCAGTTATGCTTTTCTTAGCAAGAATTTGCAGACTAAGTCGTAATTTTTTATTGTTATTTATGATTGTTCTGATAAATTTTCAAACCTGGCAACCGTAAAGCTTTGCATCTGTAAGTACCTCATGCAATGCAACTCGAATGCCACAGAGCTCTGAACTTCCTTTGGGGGTAATGGGATCTCCATGGCAATGAGGCCTGCTGAGAGAGAAACACGGGCTTGGAATTTGATAAAAGATGACTTGGGGGCTGTAAAACACCCTCATGCTCGTCCCCAAGTGCTAATTAATCACTGAGCTAAAGCAACCCACTTGGTGGAATGACAGCGAGGCAAGGGACTGAGAGGAGGTTTGGAGGGTCAGAGGAAGAACAGACTTGTTTAAACAAAGTCCTTTGGGGAGGAACCCCCCAGAAAGGTGTGTGATGTCATCAAGAGGGTATGAGGGTCTTGCCAAGAGCCTGGCACATCGGAGCGCTCCRAGGTCGTGACGGAAGGAACTGCAATACTCGGAGCTGCCCGGCTCGTGGCACGCTGCCATCCCGCCCTGAGGAACAGGAAGGATCCCATTGAGACACGCAAGGGCCTGCCCTATGCGTGGACCATGTCCAGGGGCCAGGGGGTTCTTTCCTCTTTGACTTTTGAATCTCCCAAGGTGAAATTGTTTGAGTAGAAAGCACGAGGAAAAGAGAAAGTTTGAGCCCGGTCTTGTGACTGTGGTTTTTGACTTGCTTTGCTTTAAGTTTGCAGTTCGGGGGTGTTCTGTGTCCGTGAGCCTGGCGTTTAGAACGTGCTGAGTACCAGCAGTGAGAGCTGCCTCTCTAGTTTATCAAACTGAGCTCTCAAAAATGAAGGCATGGAAAATAATTAAGGCAAAAATTTTGTTTTTATTTTAATATCTAAGCTGTCTCAATACAAAGAGTTAATCTACAAAACGCCACTGGAAGTTTAGCTACCAGTTTACTCCTTCCATGAGCATTTACTCCTTCCAGCCCTAATATGTAGATAATCATATATCATAGTTTGACTGTATATTACCATCAATATTAGTGTGTTAGTATTTTGTAAGCAATGTAGCTCTATCCATTTCTGTGTGCACTTCTGTAAATGTGAACTCATTCATTGTAGCACGTGTGAGAAAGATCAAGTTGCAGATACCTTTTTAAGTTAAGCTAGGGCTAAAATCAGACAGTAATCTACAGTAGTCTTAGTTTTATGGCTCCTAGATGCAGGCTTAGGCTGGTGTTACACACGTGATCTGATAGGGGTAGATTTTGGGAACCTGTGTTCCAGAATAGTCTGTTCTCTACCTTTAATGAGTCCATTATATGGTTTTATATTCTCTTACAAATAAGCATCTAAGAAAGATCCTTAGCACTCTTGCTGTCCTTATTGACTGCTTATAATCTTATTCCCTAGGGGCTATTTGATTGCTGCACCTTCTGTTTTCCGTGCTGGTGTTGAGGAATCTATAAGTGTGACTATCTTTAACTCTGTTAAGGAGACAACAGTCCAGATTCAGTTAGTGGTCAAAGGAGAAACTGTGTCACGAGGCCATGGAACAGTTTTGGGTAAGTTTCTGTTATTTCGCACTTGAGGACTGGGGTGCCCATTGATATGTGGGAGCACAGCAATGTCTGTTAGAGAATAGGTTTAGTTGATAAGAGTTGGCATCAAATTAATAGTTAATGTGTTCATTGACTACTGCCATGTTGTGATAACCTGGATTTGATTTCTGTGGTCTGAAACATCTAAGGCCGATCTTCTTGGAGCACTGAGGCYTATAGAGACCCCGAATAAAGATGGAACGTTGATATTCAAGTGCTTTATAGKGAATAACTTTTTTCCTTTTGACACCAGAAATTCTGACACCAAGGAGTTATAAAAATAAGTTAAATCAAGAAAAGTGTCATCTACAAAACCTTTTTCTATCTTCAGTTTAAAATGAGTATTGGAAATGTAGTCTCCTCATCCTCAGGAGTTGCTAGAGTGTTGCTAGAGAGAYGGTAACACTTGTGCAGTTAGACAGGCCTTTAAAATCAGTCCTATTAGCAGTCATATTTAACCCTTCTCCATGCAAAAATTTGGAGGGATATAAAGGCCTTTGCCTTTCTTGGAACAGATTGTCTCAGTTTTTATCCTCTCCTATCCTCTTTGAAATTGGCTGACAATTGCTTTACTAAATAAAGGGGAGTGATGCTTACACATGTGGACAACATATGCTAAAGAGAAGTCTTAGGTATGGCAGTATCCAGCAATCAAAATAGACTCTATGGGTGTTTGTTTTGAGAATGATTCAAGTTCCAAGAAAGGCCAGGTCTTTTTTCATCAAAATACTTCTGGAAGTATAAGATGCCCTGCAACAAATCCACAACCTTGGTGGCATTTTCTAACTGCAGAACATATTGCACTTCACTCTGGGCTAAAATTGTGAATAAAAGTAGATCAAGTTTACATTGGAGAACTCCACTAGGCCTGACTTCACTCACTCTGCACATTGTTTTACACATTGCAGGAGAATTGCTTAATTGAAACATAATCAAGGGGTATTTCAGTTAGCAGCTTTATGATTTGGTGAAATGATATCACTTTACTAAACCCTAACTGGCTCAAAAGCTAGTATGTTAGCTTGAAAAGAGTATCACTGTTTAATTCTTTCTTTTTCTCATCTTTTAGATAAAGGGACCATTAAACTGAAGGTGGGTGCCACTTTTTTTTGGTGAGAAAATGAAGGGCTTTTTCATACTTGGGCTGTTTACATTTAAAGAGTGGTTCATTGTTCCGCATAAAGCTCTACACTGAGATGATTTTTTTAAGAGTGGCAGTATTCTTAAAAGTGTGATGTACTTAAAAGTGCTTAAGTACTTAAAAGTGGCCAGATCCAGGTGTTTGGAAGCAGTTCTAATATATTAGTGCAGCATTGCATGGACGCCTTTGTGGCGCATACTGCCTCATCTGCATTAGCGCTGGCCTATAAGTAAATGGCAGCCTTTGATTTACAGTCATTTAACTGGCTTGATGATGATCTGTCGTGACTGGTTGGGCCTCTTCTGCCTTGGTGGCATATCCCGGAGTTTTCTTTGCCTCCTCTGTAATTGCCATATGGCTGATGTTCGTATTGTTCTGTTCGGCCAGTAGTTAAGCTGTGTCTGGGAATTAGGTTCTAGGAAGGTTTGATGGATATTTCCCCCCTCTGACAACCCTTCACTGTGCTAATACACAAATCTGTTTGTATCTGCTCGTTAGGTTGCAGGAAGGTATAACATAGAGCTTCTCTCTTATTATTTTAATATTAAAATTTTCTTTAATTTGTAATTTTTAAATTAAAGCTTTTGAAGAAGTTGATTTCCCATCATCCTCAGCCTTCCACCCCTTCAATAGAGCCATGTCTTCCTAGCATGGTTATTTTCCCTATATAATACATTTTTAGGAGAACCTACACATGCAGGTCAGGCATCACTTTGCTTGAGTGATAAAGAAAGGGTAGAAGAGAATTTCCTGCCATGTTTTTAGCATAACCTTTCCTCCTTTGAAGTTCTTCTTTGTGTTCTAAAAAAAAAAAAATCTAACATGTTCTTCATTTTCTTTTTATTACTAAGACATAGTTACACTGAAATGCAGCAGGTGGCAGCTCTTTGCTCACTTCAGGGTCGGTTATTCTGGAGTAGTAACTGTATTCCCTGGGGAGCTCAAAGGCTCTTCTGTCTTCCTCACCTTATGGTCTGTTTCCTAGGTGCCTTCAGGACTTCGTGGACAAGCACATCTAAAAGTTTGGGGCAACCGGCATGTGACAGAGGAGGGTTACATTTTTCACAACTATACCACAGTGACCATCGACAGCAAAGGGTCCTCAGTGTTCATCCAGACCGATAAACCCGTCTATAAACCCAAGCAGAAGGGTAAGTGGCCTCAGAGAACTTGCCAGATTTTTGCTTGCAAGGACGCCTAGCACTCCTTTTTTTCCGTGAGTAAATTCTAGGATGAGATCTTGTCTTTAGGGACAACTGTGATGAATAATAAATTTCCTTTTTTTTTTTCCTGTATTCTTTTAGTGTTAATAAATCTCTTTATGGTGACTTCTGACCTGAGACCAATCAATGACAGGGTAAGAAAAACTTCTTTCTCCACTGTAAAATGTGATGGAATACTTCATTTCCTATATTTTGTTCTGACATATAAGAGTGGAGGAATCCAATTATATTTTTGCACATTTTTTGTATCTCTTCTAGTTTGTCTAGTTTGCTAGTTATTTGTAAGTTACTGTTTTTGTTTGTTTTTACTTAGTGTTTTATTTTTTTTTTCATTTCTTTCAGATTGAAGCTTATGTGGTGGTGAGTACCTGTCTGCCAGTCATCTAGCACATAACTTGTAAAGCCACAAAAATGTAGTAGCCTTAGGAGGAAAAAGTAACGAGTGTGCACCTTCCTCAGTCCATTGTGGCCATTCTCAGCTGTCACCTATGCCATTATATCTAATCTTGCATCTTTAACAGATCCTTGTCRTTGTTTGTTGTGTTTGTTTTTTATCACCCCCAACAAATATACCTGTTTTCTACTTCTGTTACACAAATCCATTTCCATTTTCCTACCTGAGAAGAACTGGCTAGATTGATTACCTTTACAAATGTAATAGTCCCACTCAATTTCTCCCTTCTTTTCAATACAGACACACTCCTATCCTTCATCTGGCTGGGCTGATATAGCAGGGCCAATTTCATCTCTGCACCCAAACATTATGATAGTGGACAATAGAAATGCATGGCAAGGAAAGGGTGCTCCTGTCTTCTTCTTTATGAGGTGAATGAGAGGTTCCTTCTGTGTCTAGTCCTTTTTTTTTCCCTAAATCCATGGGTTTTTAGCTGTCAGYGAGTAGAACTCACCCTCTTCCTTTGCATTCAGTGACAAATTTAATGCTGGCAAAACCAGCAGGATTGATTTTGTCTGACTTTGTCATCTAAAAATTGTCTAGCTAGTTGTACCAGTCCCTCTAGGAATGGAAAGAAAACATCTCAGAAGGCAGCTCATCCCTTTCGAAATAGGTGTCTAACGTAGGCGGAAGATCTACTCCCGGCAGTGCCTGTGCTTTTCCATTGGCTATAAAATGAGCACTGAATTGTAGAAAACTACTCCCACTCGCCCACCCATAAAATATCTTCAGGAATTTTTGGATAGCTGCTATTTACATGTGAGTTATTAGTGAAGTGCATAGATAAAATGATATTTTGCTGCAGACTGAGAGCTAAATGTTTTAGTGATATTCACATTCACTGTGATGTTTCTCATTCCTAAACCACCTGTGCAGGATCCTCGGGGGTCTCGTATGATAGAGTGGGACAATTTGAAGCCATTTTGCTGTGGTAAGTTCCAGATTATTTTAACCCTGTGCGTTATAATTTACTAGCCATCAGTAATTCCTTTTTATTTGGCTATTAAATAAGCCTTTACCAGGATTCATGAGCAATAGAGTTCTTTGTTGTCTCTTCTTTCTCAGGAATTGTAAATATGAGTTTTCCTTTGTCTGACCAGCCAGTGTTTGGCGAGTGGCTCATCTTTGCTGAAATGCAGGGGCACACGTACAACAAGTCCTTTGAAGTTCAGAAATACGGTGAGTTGTACACCGTTCGGCTCCGACTGTTACCCAAGCATATTTAGAAGAMCAAACATTGTGAAATAATTTTACTTAAGGTAAAAAACCTGAGAAATAATGCATCAAAAAGGCCACGTAACTTGGGCGTATAGGCTCCAGAAGTCTGTTGCCAAAGTCCCAAGATGGTCTCGCTTTGCTAACTTTTGTTTTTTCATTGTCTGATCAGTGCAGTGCTGTGTGATATTAGCTACAAAGCCATCAGCTGACCTTTGGCTGGGGTCTTGTCAAGCTGTATATTTTTGTTATAATCTGAACTATAAGATTTCCTTGAAACAGCTCTGTTGTGTTCCTTTTCATTGTAGTGTTACCGAAATTTGAGTTGCTGATTGAACCCCCTCGCTACATCCGTGACCTTTCGACATGTGAAAAGGGAACTGTCCATGCCAGGTAGGAAACTACAAAAATAGTTTCATCTTTATAGGTTGTAATAGAACCATAGGATGATGCAGCCACTGAAACTTGCATCTCATCCCTTGTGGTCTTTTCAGATGCTTTCTGGTCATCATCAAAAGCTTTCATATGCAAGAGCCTTAATAAAACATGTTAACAATAACATGTTGGAAAACCTGTTATCTCTTTTTTCCCCCTCTCTTGAGGATGTGCAAGTCACATGGTTTTAGTTTTGATTTAATTGGGAAACAAAGTTTTTTATTATCTCCTTTCCATTTCAGATACACATTTGGAAAACCGGTGACAGGAAAGCTAATTGTCAATATGACTATAAATGGAGTGGGGTACTACAGGCATGAAGTGGGACACCCTGTCCTCAAAACCACCCAGGTAAGGGAGATAAATTAGAAATGCTGCGATAAAATGTCTGATATACAGTCTTTGAAACTGATAGAACAGCTCCATTTTATGTCACTGATGGGAGAACAGTAATAAATAAATGTGATAATTTGACCTAACATAAAATATCATGTATTATTTTTACACTATATGCTATCCTTTGGGGGGTTGAGAATTTATTAGTACTAATCCTCTAGATTTTTGTAGCATATGGGGCTGAAGGAGAAAATAAGTGTGAGGAGCTTGAACAGAGCTAGTCCAAGCTACGGATGAAGGAGGAAAATGAGAATTGTTGCATTTTCCCTGTGACCCTSTATCTTTTAGGAACTAATTCCTCCCATTCTGTATCCTTAAAAATACTGCTACAAACTCCAAACAAGTTCTTTACACTTACATTTGGCCTCCAAAGCCTTTCTGAATGTGCACATGATCTTATGTTTCCGTTCCCCGATCCACCTGGTAGATCGATGGCTCTGCTGTTTTTGACGTGTGTGTGAAAGACATGATGCCAGCTGATGTTCCAGAACATTTTCGAGGCACAGTCAATATCTGGGCCACGGTGACGAGCTCTGATGGGAGCAAACAGGTGACGTTTGACGACTCAACACCGGTTCAGAAACAACTGATTGATATCAAGTACTCTAAGGATACTAGGAAACAGTTCAAGCCTGGATTACCTTACAAAGGAAAGGTAAGATTAAAAATGCAGACACTGAAAAGTGACTGATAAACGCTTACACAGATCTGATACCAGGATGTTACACCGTTTTATAGTGTGTTTTTTTCCTAACTGATATATTTTTTCTATCGTTGACCGTAATTGTCAATAATGTAAAACACCTTGTTCTATAAATGAACACTGTGTAGGTAGAAGTCACCTATCCTGATGGAAGCCCAGCTAACAGAGTGACCATCCGAATCAAAGCTGAACTAACACCAAAGGACAACGTTTATACAAGTGAACTGATATCGAGAAATGGCCTCGTGGAGTTTGAAATCCCTTCCATTCCTACAGCTGCCCAATATGTCTGGCTGGAGGTGRGTGAAAGCTCTTTATAGGATTAACAGGCTTTAATGTGACTAATCTTGTCAAACCTGCACTTCATAAATCACTACCACAAACAGGAAATCAGTGCCTTTTAGTTTCAACTTCTCAGTTTAAATGCAAACACTTGGTTTCCTTTCTGCTTGAAAGGAATTGATTATTATAACCATTATAAAAGGATGATTCTCCAAATGTTAATATAGTAGTAAATAAGGGTCCAATATCTTAAGAGTAGAATTATTATGTAAAGGTGGCAAAAAATTAATGTAAAATGTGACAKGAGGATACAGGGTAAGATTAAATTAGGAGTCAGGTTTCCTATGCATGTCTAACATTCAAATATCACTTTTGCAAAGACTAAAGTGACAGCGATTGATGGGAAACCAGCAGGGGACCAATATCTCCCGAACTATTTGTCCATCAGTAGCTGGTACTCACCTAGCAAGTGCCACATCCAGCTCCAGGCACCAGATAAGCCTTTCCAGGTATGTTGACTTCATATTCCATTATGGCAACACTGTGTTTCTTGGATTTATKCACTGTTTTCTAATTAAAAATTTCCAGCAGGTCTGTTACCTGGAATCCTGGTCTTTTACTGTATCCATTGCAAAGCTTAAAGTACTTCAAATACTTGAAGTAGTTGAACGACAGTCACCAAATTATTGTTTGCTGTCAGCTGCAAGTGGTTCAAAGCAAAGTGCCTTTGATAAGTGGCGTTTTCCTTGATGTTGTGGAGATGGGCAGAGAAGGTAGATACAGGCACTTACCACAATTTTTAATATTTGAACAGAAATAAGTTCTGTGCGCCCTGGGGAACCACTGCATTGCATAGTAATTTAATAGCTAATTAATCTTTTACAAGATTCCTGAGGAATAGAAAGGGGATTATATACTGCTAATCTGAACACATTGTTCTTATTATAACCTGATTAGAAATAATTCTTCTGTGGGAAAGCTAGGAGTTGGATGACCAGCTGATGTGGGAACTGTTTCTCTGCTTTGCCAGCTCTTACTGGGTGTTCCAATTAGCTACACTTCTTTTTTTCTTTATTTTTTTTAAATGAACTGTTTCATCATATTTCAGTAGGAAATTCTTAATGCTTCAAATATTTGATGTCACGAGGCACCTCTCCCTGGATTCTGCAGCATTCTCACTGTGTTTAATTACCAGCAGCTTCTTGTTTTACTGTCTTTGCACTATATGTACAGTGGCAAGAGAGCACTGCTAGTATTGAAGAAGAAGGCTTTGCAAAATGTTTCATTGGTAATTAACTGCTGCTCAGTCTTGGTTGGGCATGCTATGCTTTAAATGGCAAKAGGGTCAGAGCTGGAGGTTGCTGAATAAATACTAATTAACACAACTGTTGCTGACTTCTTGTATACCAGAATAAAGAATTTTGTGTTTCTAAGAAATTCACCTGCTCCACAGAAGGTTTATTACTCAGCCGGACGTGACCCAGTCCTTAGCATGAGCACTGATATGCMTTCTTTTGGGATTGGCAATATTTGTGGGATTTTATCTCCAGAGGATTTAGTTCTTAGAGGGTACCTCTGGGTRTAGGACTTGGGAGTTGCAGAAAGCCAGTGCTTCTTTGTAGCTTTTTATCAGATGCATTTGCCCTAAGAAAGGAAGCTGTCCTCTTGCTTTCTTGTATATTTGGCAGCTCCTYGAGTGATAGGTTTGCAAATTAATACCAGAACCTGTGTAATTTGAAAGCACTTTCCACAGTCCTGTTCCCAGTGACTTCGGGGCATCTTAGTGTTTACCTTGTGGCAGCAATCATGATGTATAAACTCAATAAAACCACAAAAAGCGACAGACGTGACACACTTCCCACCCCTCCATCCCTTTCAGGGCTGGCCTACTGAAGGGGTGTCTAAAATTCAACCAATTCTGACAGCTGCTCTGTGCCAAAAGGCTTAGCTTTCGAGATTCCAGAGATTCCTTTATTGTTTTCATTAATGCTTACAACCSCCCACCCCATTCTCCTGTTTGACTTGCAGAAGTGAAGAGATGCACGCAGACCCCTTCTCACTGTAAAGAAAACCCACAAATGGTGCTAATACAGTATTTTCCTCAATGCCTACATTTTGTAGGAAAGGCATCAAATCCCTTGTGGCTTCAGACCCAGAGAGATTTGTGCTTTATAAGAGGAAGTGTGTATATATGTATTTATATATATATATGTATATGTGTGTGTGTGTGTRTATATTTGTAGCGTTATAACAAACCACATCTCTTCTATCTCGGAGCACAGGTAGGAGAGGAGGCTTGGATTGCAGTGAAGTCCACGTGTCCTTGCAACTTCACTCTGCATTATGAAGTAGCATCACGAGGCAACATCGTCCTTTCAGGCTTGCAGCATAGTAACGTCACCCAGCAGAGGAGCAAAAGAGCTACCAGTCCTTTTGAGAGGGATGTAGATGTTGTACGTTCCCTAGGAATAGGTAGGTACCATGAGATGTGCTACTTCTCCCTTATTTTCAAAAACCAAAAAACCCCCCCCCCCCCAAAAAAAAACCACTCTTCTGCAACGTTTTCAAAGTAATTTATTCTTATGATTTTAAATAAATGGGGATTTCTGTACCTTGCAGTATTTAGAGGAGGCAGAGAGAGTAATTTTGATGAACAGCGCTGTTGATTTTGTTTTTTAGCACCCACCAGTAATCCTGTAGCAGAGGTTGAAGTCTGCATGACCTTCCTGCACTTCTCAGTAGTTCACAGCATGGCTCCCTTTGGCCGTTTGCTGGTGTATTACGTCAGGGAGAACGGAGAAGGGGTCACAGACAGCCTGCAGTTCACTGTCAAGTCCTCCTTTGAAAACCAGGTACTGGCAGTGCACCTAGAGAAGCGGCTGGGATGGCATCTTGCTATTTTTCCTCGTTTTATCCACCAACTGTGAGGTTAGCTGATGGGGTTTTGTATTAAACTCCTAGGTTGCRGTGACGCTCTCGGCAAATGAGACCAGACCTGGTGATGTTGTGAACATCAAGGTCACAGCAGCCAAATCGAGCTGTGTGTGCATTGCCACCGTGGATAAGAGTGTTTACTTGCTGAAGACTGGTTTTCAGCTGACAGCCAGCCAGGTAAAAGGCATCTTAAGACACTAACGTCTCTTTCTCTCAATGCCAGCACTTTATCTTTAGAAGSAAACCCTTATGCTTGGAAAGGACAGCAGTGTCTCTCCTTCCTATGCAGGTTTTTCAAGAGCTTGCTGACTATGACGTATCTGATGCTTTTGGAGCTCCCAAGGAGGAAGGGCATTTCTGGTGGCCAGGCATGTCCTCACGTAGACGACGTCGATCTTCAGTCTTCCCCTGGCACTGGGACATCACCAAGGATGCTCGCTTTGCATTTACAGTAGGAAGAATCAGTTTCCACACCAAGGAGCCCCTTGGTTATTTTATGTTTGCAGGATTATTTTTAGTTCCATAGGCTATTTCCTTTCTCATCYAGGGGTGTTTCTGTAGGGGAATGGGGAGTGTAGTCTGAAAACAAATTTCCAAAAACAGAGACTTCTCCTGTTTCATCAAAGATATGAGAAAAAATGTGCTTTGCCTTTGACTAATCTTGAGAAGTGGGCAAGATTTCCATTTGGAATTATGCTGAGGCTTTGGAGGATCAGGTGGAACCCAAAGGTTTCTCCCATGTATTATGTATGTGTGTGGTTTCCTGTAGTAGATAAACTTGACCATATTTGAGAAGAAAAAACAGAACAAAAGAAACCCCCCACCTTTTTCCTGTGATCTGTGCTGTAACCTCTTGCATTCCTTTTTGAAATGYATGTGAAGCATTATCTGCTCTATTTGAAAAGCTCTAGTTGTTGGCATGTTTCTCCCCTTCCAGCAGTTGCACAGTAGAAACCATCCACCTCTTCAGATGTTCTGCCTCTGCCTTCCACAACATTGAAGCACGTCATCTCTTTTCCACGACTGTCTCTGCCTCAAGCTGTGASGATAAGCTATGCTCTGCTGGCCTTGTGACATATTCTTTCCTAGGCTTCCACTACCAGCCACTCTTTAAGACAGGCCAGGCTGGAAAGCCAGAGTTGCAGTGCTCATGTTTTATGTTCTTTCCATTCTTCCTTTGTGCCCATTCTAAATAATGATTCTCCTTTTTCCCCATTAAACCATTCTGTTGTGTTGTCTAAAACACCTTAGTCTCCCACATACACCTGCAATGCCTCAATTTCTTCATCATAAACTCCAAATCCTCCCTTAATACCCACTGAAGCAGGAAGCTACACTTATTCTCCTCTCCCTGGTTTATTAGACTACTTTTGTTCTGATGCCCTTTTTCTAGTTGGAAGCTATAAACCCTTCCTATAGACCTAGACCTGGGAAAAGGTCTATATGCTTTAGTATCTAGCTAGTATGAATGCATCGCTGTATAACTGATTTGTAAAAATGGATGCATGTATGAAAGAGAACAAAGCCTATTTTTCCTTTGGTGCCTGGGAACTGCAATCTCTCTCTTACAAATGTATTTGTGAGACAGAGCTAGCAGCTTTCTTTGTGAATTCCGTATTTTTACTGTGAAGATGTGTGAACAGTTTCCATTTTGCTTGGCACTCCTGGTAGAGCAGAGCCGGTGATATCTGGCATGAGAGCTACCTGCTTGCTGCAGTGTAATATGCTTTAAATATTCTTTAATATTCTTTAAGAATATTAAAAAAGAGAATATTCTTTAGATATTCTCTTTTTTAATGTTTTCCCTCTAGTTTTCCAACAGTTTTATGCATGTGGCTAGGAGTGCTAGATATTGGTAAAACATATTTTTCAAGCAAACGAGAGCTCTCTCCTTAAACTCTAAGGAAAACACACCTATGTATTTTTATATTAGCAGTCATTTTTATTTCCCATAAAGCTTAAAAAAATCCCCATATTTCAGTTGAACCTTGTCCTATAAATATTGGGCTGGGACGATTCCATTCAGAAAAGTCTTCCTTGATATATCCTGATTTTTTTCTGTGTTGGTTTCTGTTTTGTGGCCTTCACCTTTATTATTTAGGAAACCGGCTTGGTTGTAATGACTGATATAGTCAGCCTGAACCACAGGCAGAACGGCGGCATGTACACAGATGAGGCTGTCCCAGCTTTCCAGCCACATACTGGGACCTTAGTGGCTACAATGCATTCTAAAATTGCACCAAGGTAATGTCTTTGTTATAATGTGTATTGCTTCTGATACTTTTAGCTATATTTTTCCCTATATTCTCAGCCGTTTTTCCCTATATTCTCAGCCTCACCTCCCTTAGAGTAAGTTTTAGAGATTTATGCAGAAAGAGTGAAGTATCACAGGTAGAAATATGGAACAAATTATGAAAATATTAGACGACAAAAGAGAGGGAGAGGAGTGTGAAGTAGTGCTCATAGTAACTAGTAGACGATGGCCATATCATGATGTTGTGGGAATTTGCATGCTGCATGGGTCCCCTCTGTGCTTTTGCTTGGTGAAATAAATGGGATGATCTTATTTATGTCTCCAAATAGTTAGTATGTGTGAATCATGGGATCATTTGGGAAGATTTGTATTTTTCTTGTATTATGGATGATTCAGTTTTTCTCTGATTCTGTGCTAGCTAGTGCTTTAGATGATTATTTGAGCTGCATTCAAGTAGTAACACTCATTTATTAGTTATTGTTATAACTAGCTGTCTTTTTAAAGAATTAATTGCCAAGGATTTATTATTTTTTCTAGCAGAGCAGAGAAGAGGAAAAGAACCTTCTTTCCTGAAACGTGGATTTGGCACTGCCTCAATGTCAGGTACCCACAGGGAGTTCCCTTAACYACATCCAATGTGTTGTATTCTCTTCAGCTGCAGAAAAGAAAGCTCTTTAAAACCAACTAGGAGCTGCATCAGCATGCTCTGATTTTTATGTAGCTTTTCTTCATTGCTTCTCTAAGCAAGAATCTTTATACCACTCCTTCAAAGCGTGTTCTCTTACTTCACGTTAAACCTCTCAATCTCAACTATTTTTCAGTCCCTGCTGTCCCAAMCAGGGGAGTAGCTTCAAGGAACAAGGAATTAAGTTCAACACAAGTGAATTGGGTTCACAATTGGGTGACGTGCCCTAGCCATGCACTAGTATTCTATATGGATTGCTTTTTGAATTGCACAGAGACCTTTCTTTGCCTTTCATCTGATGCAAGAAGCATTTTCCTCAAATCTTAATTTACTGTTCTGTAAATCACAGCCTGCAACTGGTACAATGGGAACTATAATAGGAGCAAACAGATAACTAATCTCTCCCCAAAACAGCACATCTAGGATTAAATATTTGGGGCAGTTATTATGGGCTTTTCTAGGTTTACAAGTAAAGTTTACGCTCTGTAAATGATTATAAATTAAATTTGTCAGGAATTTGCAGTAAGTGTATTCAAATCTGTTCAATTGAGCATGAGAAATGCTTTGTAGAAATACACAAAGAATTTCAGAAGTGCCTGTTTGGGCCTCAGCAAGCTGGGGCAGTTAATTATAAGTGGGAGAGTGTGGAATAAAAAGTTGCACATTGCATTTTCTCCACTCCATTTCACTATAAATAACTGAGCTGAGCATTGCTTGATTTCCACTCTCTTGGACAGGAAGAATTTTTTTCCTTCTAGCCTTTATAATTACAATATACAATCCTCAAAAAAAAAAGAAAAAAAGAAACAAAAGCCTAATGTCAACTTCCCAAACCAATTCTAAAAATTCCYAGAGCCTGGCTGGAGGGTCTAATGGCTGGAAATGTATGTGTACTTTGGCCCCCCGCCCAGAAGAGTAAGTGCCCTCATGTGTGAAAATAATGTTAATGTTGGTTATGGGCTGAAATCCCAGTGGAAAGAACATCAGCTGCAACAAATTGTCCGGTTAAACAGACTGGAATGTGGCCAATTCTAGGGCTGGGACACCCTTCAACTTTCCTTCTCAGGGCTGGAGCTTGTGTTGCAGGTACCAGTTAACTCGCCCCAGTTAGGGGGCAGATCCAAGTGCTGTGAAGTTTGGGTGCTTATGAGATGTTAAAACCTATGGGGCTTGGCTGCATCAGGCTGATTCCCAGGCTTTCCACTCTAGCCTGAGCTGGGGAATTGTATTTGCACTGCCTGCTTGGACTGTACCCCACTGAACTGACCTTTGTGAAGGCATGGTGGCCTCTAGGTTTTATCAAACTATTGTTTTTAATCTTTTCCTATTGTAATATCAATAGGGAGACCCATGTGTGATGTGCTGCCTGTTTTATTAGCAGTTATACAGACCTAGGCTCATTGAAAATTATGCCAAAAGGTGATTTAGATGGTGCAAGTAAAGGCACTTCACTGGAATCCTAAAACTTAAATAACCTTCGGAGTTGAAAGCACTGAAAACYGTTCTTCATTTTGTTCTGGATGTGAATCAGCAGGTATTGCAGCACATAAAGGCATGTTATGCTGCAGACCCACGGAGCTTTCCCTTAAGATCTTACTTTCTTATCTTCCATACCAACTAAGATGCATGTTGCTCTCAAAAGATTATGGAGTTAGCAGCATGTGTATCAAGCTCTGGGGAATAAATAAGAGCTTGAGAGAAAACAACCTTAGGGTGTACTCAAAACTGCACCAATCACCCTGCCAGTTGAGCCATGAAACAGCTTTTGTTCTGGCTTTAGAGGAAATGTTTTCTGTTCCAGGCAAGGCCAAAGCTGCTTTGCAGGAGGCAAATAGCAAAGGCTGCAGAACAGAACTGAATTTATAATATAAAACATGGAAAAAGATACTGGGTTTATGCCATCCTGTTGCAGTGTGCACAGCAAAGCTAAATACCCCAAATAGTGGGTTTTTTTTTTAATGTTTAGTTCCTGCGGCATGGGGGAGAAGAGGGAAATGGTTGTTGGGGAAATTTTCTATGAGCCAGACATACCAAAATCAACCAAACAATGTTTCTGAATCAAAATATGCCCCCCTGGATGAGCAGTTGCTGAACTTGGTAGCTGGAAAATTTCTTCCTTGATTGATGTTTAAGCACAATCTGTGATGTGGCAATGAACATAACAAGGACAGTAGGTTCCAACAAAGATTGCTTTTATTTCACTAGCTGTTGAATAAACAATTGCTTAGCTGCTTTTATCTAGGGCTTCCATCTAGGAGTTCTTTCTCTTTTTTTTTTTTTTCCTCCCACTTAGCATATATGTTTGTCTCTTAAGAAAAGTGATCCCATAGCTAGGTTGCAAATCCTGTAAAGCTTTTAATTTGCTATGAGTCGATGTGTTAGATTCTGTGTTTTGCAGTAGCAGCTACTTGCTGTTCTGCTCATTGCAGTCATGCAAGTCTGGGGTCTTGCACAGGTCTCAAATTGTAGTTTAGAAAGAAGACACTGAACCATTTTATCATCTGTTTAAAGCAGACTCWGGTGTTCTAAATCATAGGTGATACTGTGTCATAACTTTGCATTTGGAGGCAATTCCCCAATTAATTTGGCTCCTTGTGCTTCAGCTTCATTCAAAAGCATTTCATTAATTTGTCCACTCCAAATTTTTCCCTATTCTCTTTGGCAGTAACGTATCAGGAGAAGCCCAGCTGCGAGTGGAAGTGCCAGACTCCATCACGACATGGATAACTGAAGCTGTGGGTCTGTCTGAAGAGAAGGGCTTGGGCATTGCCACTCAAACAGAACTGAAGACATTCAAGCCTTTCTTCATTGATTTCACCTTGCCATACCATGTCATCCGAGGAGAACAGACCAAAATCCCATTGACTGTCTACAATTACTTAACTGTCTGTGTAGAGGTAACAGCCCCTTCATTTCTATTGCTAAGTTACTAAATTATCTTTCAAATCATGAAAGAAAATTTCTTCAGAGATCTACAAGTTGCAGTAGAGAAGGAACAAGGATAGCAGTGATAAGCTCAACAGAAAAACATGAAACAAAATAAATACTTCTTTGCAATACTAATAAAAGTATTTACTTTTAGTTTGAAACAGTTAATAGAGATCTAAAGTGTCTCGCAATGCTTCAGAAATCCAAATACTGAAAAATGTGAAGATAATTAGAAAACTCTCACTGAACCACAAAGAAGAATTTGCTCCTTAATTAGAATCCCTCTCAAAGTAGCTTATTTTGAAAGCCTTTTTTTTCCCCAAGACATGCTTTTTGCATAGTGTATCCTGGTGAAGTTTTTTTGTTTGCTTTTCTTTTTCTCAAATACATTAGCTAGCTTGCTAGTATCATTCTGAACTTCTGGAATTATTGAAAGCAATCCCAACAGTTAAATGTATTATTTGGAGGATTGAGGAATCAATAATCTGTGCATATGGTTATATTGAGCATTATTTTGTGACTTTTTTCACATCTTACATTTATGAGTTTTGTGCGTGAAACTTGCAGTAAATGGCATTCAAAAATTTCCACAGGTTCATGTGAAGATTTCAGTTCCAAAAGGCATCAAGTTTGTTGGGCATCCTGGGAAACACCACCTGACAAGAAAGAAGTGTGTTGCCCCCGGGGAAGCTAAACCCACCTCTATCGTTTTGTCCTTCAATGAGCTTGGACTGAGCAACATCACTGGTAGTATAGAAATAAAAATACTTTCCTGCTTGAAGGAATTTTACAAGCATTCCTTTTTATTCGCTTTTCGGAAGAAAATTCTCACCGGGTACCCTAATTCTCCCAAGTGGGAGAATTCCTAAAATGGAAGCATTCACTGTACTTCACTGACAAGTTAGTATGCCAGATAATTATAGAGAGTAAAATTTGTTTAAYACTGGCAATTAGCAAAGACTTTCTCTGTTGTCCTCTGATGATCCGAGAACTTGTAGGAAAAAACTGTAGTTGCAAAGCACTTCATGTGGTGCTTATCAGCTGTATAGGTATTTAGTTTGCATCAGTGCTTTAAGAACTTCATATTTTGAAATCTCTGCTGCTTCTTTTCTGTTTCTTAGCAAAAGCTTTTGCTTATGGTGGAACTAATTGCTGTCAAGATGGGATGCAGACCTTAAAGAACAGCAAGCACTCGGAGGACAATTACATGGATAAAAGGACCCCAGTTGGGATGGATCATGTTCGCAGTAGTGTTATTATTGAGGTAAGAAAATATGGTTCTGTAATAATTCAGACAAAAAATGACACATGCATGGTCAACTCATGAGAGCTCTTGGGTAATAAATCAAACCTTAATAGGATTATAATGATTTTTGATTCATTGTATGTTGACATTATTGCAAATCATTTTTGTCACGTACACTGAAAGGACCCATTTAATTCTGTTGATAAATATTCTATACTGCTTAGAAGAAAAAGGATTAGAAATGTTCRGAGTATGTTTGTTATGTCAGCACAAGAAATGTGATTTTTAATAATTATCATCTCTCTAGTTAACAGCATGTGCTTTTCTATAAAGGACTTGAAACACTGTACTGCAGCAGAATTTTACTTATGTATTTTCTAAGCAAAATTGAGTAACTGTCATAACTAATCCACTGTATTTTTACATATGGATTCCTGTCCTCATATAGCCAGAGGGATTGTCAAGAGAATACACCTACAGTGTGTTTTTCTGCCCAAATGGTAAGTTCATGATTTGAATGAGATAACATTAAGTTTGTTTGGTTTAGTTATAAATAGAAACACGTGGCTTTATCCCATGGGGAAAAAAAACCCTCTTTGTTTCCATCTGTTCAGTAGAAAAATGAGCAAACTTTTTAACCTGTCTGTGATTGATGAGTTACAGTGTGTAGAAGGAACTTTTGAATAAAGAGGCTTTCTTACCTGGTTGGCTAATTATGAATTTGCTCAAACTGCCCAAGTGATTTCTGGAAATGGCAATTAAATTTCTTTACTTTATGAAACAGTTTACATATTCRGCACTGTGGCTGTACTATATTTTTCAGCCGATGTTTTAAAATTCAGTCTGGAATCAGTATGTCCTTTCTGCCTGAGATTTGGATAGCTCAAACTTGGCTCTGCTAAGCTAAACAGAAATGCTTTTGACCATTAAATTTGAACTGAAAAATCATACACAGATGCATGAAATCTGAGTGATACTAAACTGAAATACCTTCTATATTGAAGAGGGTGTAAGTAGAAGATAGGAAGAAACACCTCCATATATATTTTATAGTTTCACTAAGATAAGCTGGAAAAAAAAGTCCTTAAGAAAAGGAAATGACCATCTATTTAAACTCTGTTAACTATGGGTTATCTTTTAAGTACATGAGTTCTAATTCTTACAACATTCCATTATTTTTCTGACTAGAGAAAATTCACATTTCTACGCCAAACAAATATGAGTACCAATACATGCAGAAACCTGCCCAGATGACCCACTTTGACATTGCTGTGAAAGCACACAATGATGCTCACCTGGCCTTGTCCTCTGGTCCATATGACATGGCAGAGATGACTGAGATTGTTATTGGTGGACATCAAAATACTAAAACATGGATTTCCACCAGCAAAATGGGTGAGCCAGTGGTCAGCGCGGACACAACTGGTATCCTCTCCTGGGATGAATTCCGCAGCTTCTGGATCAGCTGGAAAAATGGAATTATCCAGGTAGTGAGTATAGCTGTRTAACACTCGAGCCTCTTGCTTTCTTAACTAGAGCCGGGGCACGTAGATTTTAAGGACGCATGTTGTAGAAGGAGAAAGCTTCCTTTCTGTCACTTTTCTGTATTAAATCCTGATCCAGGCTAGCTCTATCAGAACGCCTGCTTGGCTTGCCATACACATTCAGCACCTCAGCCTTCAAAGTTTAAGTGCTAGTTGTGTTGAAGGCATGAGAAGCCATGCCTGTGGCACGTGTTCAGGAGTTCTCATTCAGTTTGCTTAGGTTGTTTTGGGGGTGGAAAGGAAAAGGGGATCTGGGAGATGTTCTCTTAGATGTATGTGGGTTACTGGGTCCAAGGGTAAGCTGATTTCATGTGTGGCTTCTTGGAAATATAGGGGCTTTTTCTTTTTTGTACCTTTCAGGTTGGCCATGGTACTCGGGTGCTAAATGAATCTATTATTGTGGAGTGGACAGTCCCCAAACAGCTTGAGGTGAAGTACATTGGCTTTTCCACAGGCTGGGGGTCAATGGGAGAGTTTAAAATATGGAGAAAAGAAGAGACTGATGAAAATCACAATGAAGCGTTTACTCTTGGAGTTCCCCACAACATAATTCCAGGATCAGAAAGAGCTACAGCTTCAATAATAGGTATCAATTATGAGGAGGTATCAATAGGTATTAGTTATCAAGTATGAGGAGATACTTCCAGCGGTTATTTGCTGTATCCCTGACCTGTATTTGAGGAAAATGGACCAGATTAAGTAGTCATAGGCTGTTACAAAGGTACATATCATTTAATTCTGGGACAGAGAAATTTTTCCTGTCTCATTCACTTATTTGAAACCCATCTGAGTTGACAGCAACTTAATGTTGATRCCATCTGAGGCCTCTTCAGAGGCTCTAGCTGTTAAGAGGCAGTATTTCCTAGAATCCACAGCGTGCATTTCATAATCATCATAATCACTACTTGTCCTACCTGCCTCATAAAGTGGTAGTCTAAACTGAATACTCGCAGATAATGAAAATCTGAAATGTGAAATTTCTTCTTTATTCCAGCAAGAACTTGAAGGGCTAAGACTGCAAATTTGAAGGACTACCAATATTTTGCAACAGTTTATTTAAGCTGACTATGTGTAGCTAATAGAAACTAGTTTAGTCAGGTGGGTTTTAATCATAAGCCATCAAAAAGAGGTAAAGATGAATTATTTTATACTGAACATATCACCTCCTTTTCCAAACAGGAGATGTGATGGGTCCTACCCTAAACAACTTGGACAATCTTTTGCGATTACCATTTGGGTGCGGAGAGCAGAACATGATCCATTTTGCTCCCAATGTTTTCGTCCTGAAATATCTGCAGAAAACCAAGCAACTCAGCCATGAAGTGGAGAGTGAAGCTACTGATTACCTTGTTCAAGGTATATCACTAAATATACATAAAGCTTATAGAAAGAGAAAAGGATGTAAGTTAAGAGARCTTTACTAGTGTTATCATTTCTAATCAAGAGAACCCCATGTGATAAAGAATCATCATTTCTTTAGTGTCATTTCACAGGTTAATGGATCTTGATGGCAAGATAATTTCCCTTGATGTGTAGCCTATGCTTCCATTTAATGTCTCCTAGTTTACATAGTTATTGATTTACTGCTCCTATAAGTAACTCATTTCTCTGGGTTTGCAAGCTTTATAAAGTCTTGTAAAATTAAATTTAGTCAAGATCTATGTGACTAGTTCTTGTATTTGTATTTCTAAATTATTTCTCTAGTTCTTGAATTGCTCACATTTCTCTGAACTTCCTCCAGTATATCAGTATCTTCYCAGGAACAGTATATGCAGAATCAGAAGTTAGGATCCAAAGTAGCTATCCAAGAGCTACATAAATAAAGCTTTTTATTATTTTTTTCCCCTGACCTTTCAATGCCTTGTCCTATCTCTTTGAACAGCTCAAAGCAATCTATCTTTTTATGCACTGTTTTTCTTAACATTCAKTTTGGAAGAATCATGCACATAATAGTTTATAATTAAATGCGATTTTCAGGACAAGTAAGAATTTGACAAACATTAATAAAAACAAGAATGACCCAGAGGGACATGACTGTCTTGTATATGAGTCAGACAATAGTCATGTCATGAAATCAGAGGTGACAGGGTTAGGTGGTTCTCTGTTGAAAATGTAAATATAAAATGTAATATATTCCTTGTATTCAGCAGCAAAAGCCCAATGCTGATTCTTTTGCATGGCAACAGTTGTTTCATTTAGAATTTGCTGCACTTGCTGATAGCACTGAGAAAAGGGAAATTTTTTAATAGCCTGGGTTAGTTTTTTCTGTTCAGTGTCACTTGATTTTGTTTCTTTTTATGAATATGCAAACCTTCCAGGATTTGACTCCAAACTCTGCCTCTTCATTAACCCTTAAAGAAGAAATCCTCAAGAGTTTAAAATCTTTCTCTATTTACTGGAGCTCTGCCACATATAAGGTTCGGATGGAAAAGTCTGTTAAGTCTAGAAGGCTTCTGTGACTTACCAAACCAGAAAACTTTTACCACTTAGCCATCCATCATAAAATGTGCCGATACCGAACAATTCCCACATTTCCCTAATTTTTAGAAGTGGCTTGAGCTGAGCTRCTCAGTAATATTTTCTGCTTTTCCATAATGGAGTTTTAAATGGCTGAACAGGTGAAAACTAGAAAGGTGAAGCTTTCCAGTGAGTGTAGGCATCTAGAGGGATGCCTAGAAAACAGAAGGAGGAGGTTTGAGAAGAGCAGGGAGGGGACCCAGCCTGGGGCATGACGAAGCCAGCAAACAAGGAATAAGAACAATGGATAATCAGTCAACCCCCAAAGAGCATCAGAATAACAGAGCAGAATGCTGCAAGACCAGTATAAAATGACTACCACCTATTTGCAAGTCTAGCATGCAGCATTTTGACTCTCTTTTCAGTCCCAGAATTCTGAAAAGGATTCCTGGATAAGCTCTAGCCTACGGACACAAAACTGGATATATCACACACGGCAGAAAAAGAGGTTGCCTCGGGTAGCAGAATCCCTTACACGAGTGCCAGATGTTCCGAGTCTTCATTCACTTTAAATACTTGTTTTTCTCTGTGTGAGGATTTTGGACTCCCACAACTCTTTTATGACTTCCAGGCTACCAGCGCCAGCTGACCTACAAGAGACAAGATGGTTCATACAGCGCTTTTGGCGAGAGGGATTCCTCGGGGAGCATGTGGTGAGTTGCTATTTAAAACAGAAAATTCAGTGTTTGCTAAATGGGGAAAAATACACAATGGGTAGGGAAAGAAGAGTTCTTTTCCAGGTTCCATCAAGGTGTCGTGCACAGTGGAGAACAGATATAATCCTCCCTGTCTAAGCCTGCTGTCTGTATAGTGCTGAGTGTTCTGTACTCTGCTAATAGATGTATAATGGTTGTTTCCAGACTTGGGGGCAACTGAGGCCCTTCTAACATATCCAGGCTTTAGGCACAGGGCCTGTAGTATAGGGCATACCTGGTCTGCTGGATTTSCAGTAGCAATGTATGGGACCCAAGCTTAATTCCTCTGGAGAGTGGAAGTTCACCTGCATATCTGCTGAGTAGCACGTTGTCCCTCTCTACARCAGAGATGTGTCCTGCTAGGGTAGGAAAAGTTTCCCTTACAAATACCTTATATCTTCTTGTGGCTAGAATGGCATGGTGTAAATCTATGCCCTGAGAATCCGAATTGCAGGACTTTTCAGAATAAAACGGCTTGAGAAACAGAAACTAAGGAACTGGGAGATCAGCTCATTTCACTTATGTTCTCTTTAAGCATTAAAGTTGCCTGTTGCGTCATGTTAGTGTGACAGTTGTCTACAGGATCTCATTCTTGCCTGCATTTGCTTGATTATGCTGTCATTTGGCTTCTCCATCTGCTGTGTATTTTCCTTTAGAATGATTTTCCCCCTCAGCTCATCTGAGGGAAAGCACCATTTCTGTGATGCTGCCTCTGAAGACAGTCAACTTTTATCTCAGATCTGGCATCTCCCAGTCCCTAGATGTAAAATATGGTGACACGGAATTACTTAACACTTGAAAAATCCCCTGCCAGGCAACATGCCTCCTACCCTCCCATTCCTCGGGGGCCTGTAAAATGAATGATTCAGTCTCCCAGAGCTGGCCAGAGTTCACACTTGTTGCATGTCAGAGGTTTAGAATTCCAAAAACACTTCTGTTGCTTTCTTAAGTCCTGGTTCTGTGTAAAGTCTAATACAGCCTCAGATTCAGCAGCGCGTCTGGATTTCTTTTTTTGAATATAAGCTCGTAGTTTGTACAGGTAGTAACAAAATCGGAAAATTTACTTCTCCCTTCTTTGTAAATACTTCGTAAATATTTAAAAGCTTTATGCTGGGCAGCAGTGGCCATCTATAAAAGGGAATTTAATTTTTGGAATGTGTCATAATTAAGACAACTTGGTTATAAATTTTGATTTAATTTACTACCCCTTTATTCAGCTTTTATCCAGAAGATAAACAGTATTTCAGTGACTTTATTCTTTTTTTGAAAAGTATTCAGTGCTTCTTCCAGAAGATTTTTATAATTTGTGCTGCCTAAAAATGTTGTTTTCCTTTGATATGATATCCTGCATTTGATTTCTTAATAAAGCTGATAAATTTGTATTTTTAGGCTCACAGCTTTTGTCCTCAAGTCCTTTGCGCAGTCTCGTGGATTTATTTTCATTGATCCAAAAGAGCTAACAGCTGCAAAAGACTGGATCATCCAGCATCAGAAAGAAGATGGTTCTTTTCCAGCTATGGGCCGGATACTAAACAAGGATATTCAGGTAAAAAACATGAAGACTTAAAACTGGGCAACAAATGCATTTTTAAAAGCTTTAGCAAGGTAGGAAGTGATGTCATTTCCTTAAAACCAATATGAATCTTGTTTGAAAGGCTGGAATAATATAGGAAAACGGGATACTATAGGAAACCAAGAGAATTTTCGTGGAACAGTCTCACTGCCCCATTCTCCCGTTTTCATCTAGTGGTTTTATTTGTTGCCCTCCAGGGTGGAATCCATGGTAAGATCTCCCTGACAGCTTATGTGGTCGCAGCTCTTCTGGAAACAGGCATAACTTCTGAGGTAAACAGAAACCTTGTTAAAACAGCTCTTGCATTCTGTGAGTTCTAAACATGCTCCACTTAGTTTTTTCTTTAAACTTGATTTTACTACAGTTTGCTTAAAGAGGCATCCTGTGCTCACCTCAGTGGTAGCACCTGAGTCACTGGCTGTTTCAAAGCCCTGTGACACCTCCAGGCTAAGGAATCTGTTCCGAAGTTGTTCAAGGTGATTCCTCCAGCCTCCTACTGGCAGCTCCAAGTTTAGTCTACGGGAGCAAAACTCCTCCCTGCAATTCCTGCCTGGCCCTGGCCTGCAAATAACATTTTCTGGCTTGTAATTTCAAGGTGTAATTGCAGCCTATGCAGATAATGCTGAGTACATCTAGGCAAGCAACTTTTATTATAACTAGCTTGCTAAGTGCTGATAGTTTAGCTGGGACAGCACAGGCTTCAACCACAGGAATCCTTAAGAGGGATCCAGAAATCTTTTGCAGTCTTGCCTTTGCTGCAGTGGCCAAACTGCTACTGCTATTAGATTACAGTGTCTTTGGAGAGCCATACTCTGTTTTGTGCTGGGCTAGAGGCTTTGAACAGAAACATTGGTCTGTTCTGTAGTGAGAGAGAATAGGAACACTCTTTTTTGGGGAAAAAAATGGCTATATAGGAGTGTGCAATTGTACTTCGTAAGTTTTGAAGTAGCCAAAAGATCTTTTCCAGTACAACAAACATTTTAGAGATTCCTTTCTAAAACCCAGCATAGGAACAATGTTATTTTCCTTTGCATTTTTTTGCCCAGTTGCAAATTCAGTAGAATGAAGAATCTCAGATAACATCATAGCTGAACATTCCCATGGCTAGGGAAACTCTCTATTTGGAGCTGCTTTGACTAGTTTATGAGAACAGCTCTCCATTTGTAGCTCTGTGGAGGTAGAATTGGAAGAAGAACACAGGAGGTGTAGTGGTTTATACAGCATGGTATAGACAATGCTTGGCATTGCCAATRCAGCTTGGCAGTTTGTATTCGGAAAGCAAGATAGCCCATTGAGGCAAAAGTAAGTTTATGGGGACTGGAAAAACAGCCAGTGCAAACAGCAGTATCTACTCAGAACCTCTTAGATAAGCTTAGCACTTTTGATGGCCTCCCTGCAGAGCTCAGGGTGGGACTGGGCTGCTGTTGTGTGCAGACCTCCCCAGCTCGTGTGGGAGTAGAGGACACTGAACCCTATTGAAAAAACAGTTCCTCAAGTGATAGGAGAAGAACTTGCTGCCTCCCCATCAGCACTGTGAGTCGCAGAAGTGATGTGATGCTCCCTCCGGGCTGCTGTGAGTCAGGACAACCCTAGAGGATTTATTTGCTGGAAATGCACAGTTTATGCGGATCTAATGGTTTTCCTAGAGGAGATTTGCAAGTGTTGCTAATGATCTTAGCTAGGAAATGAGGAAGGGGAAGGTTAGTGCCACAGGGAAATCAAAGGAAACCATATTACATCAAGTCCAATTAAATTGTTTCTATAAATTATCAGAGCTACGTTCCTGCACAGTGAGGTCATCGAGGGAGTTAATAAAACATGTTTGTTGGCTGCAGGGACCCCTGGGAACCTTGGCCTTTATTATCCTCTGGCGTCTGCTAGACGCTTCAGAGTGTCAGGAACGCAATCAAACGCACAGAGCTCACTCCTGCTCTCTTCATCTGCTTCCTTGCAGGGGCATGAAACTCCTTCAGCGTTAGGGGGACAAAATATATCTAGGCATTAGTCTAAGTGATTCATGCTGTGCTATTGGTTCCTGTTTTAAAATTCTTCGTGGGTGTCTCAATGAAAAAGGAAAGYTGGATCTGTTCTACACAGAGCAAAATTCTTTCCTGGTTTTCTTAACGGAGACATAATTGTGAGAAGTATTGTGCTGCTAAGTGTGGAGGTGCAGAGGCTGGTAATGTGTCTGGGCTCTTTCCCCCTAATATAGGAAGAAGAAACAGCTGTTGCCAAAGCAAAGCACTTCTTGGAGTCCAACTTATATTCAGCAGAGGATCCCTACACTACCGCCTTGACAGCGTATGCCCTGACACTGCTGCACAGTCCTTCTGCCTCCGTGACGCTGCGCAAAATGAACAGCATGGCAATTACCCAAGGTACTGGGCACCCCAAACCCTAAACCCATCTGGGACAGGTCCTGAAGCTGGCCACCCTCCTACAGGAGAGAATGCTGAGTTTAATGGGTGCAGCTTGTCCTGAAGAAATGACTGCACTGGAAGCTTTGCAGTCCCATTCCCATCACTATGGCAGAATTTGCTTAGTAACACAAGACAGATACTCTTAATAGTATCTTTTAATCCAAAATCCAGGAATTATACCACTTGTCACATCTTYGTAATTTATTCCATTCTCCTGTTGTTCTAGAGGGCTTTACACACTGGAGCTTGACAGGAACTCTGGTTACTGATGAAGATACCTTCATGGGATTTAACGACGGTCTCTCTCAATCAGGTACCAGCATTGCAAAGACAAAATAAAAGAAGGGGCTGCAACAGCAGGCCAGGGGCTGCTGCATTCTAGTTCATCACTGTCAGCCTCAACTGTACAAATCAGAGCCATAATAACAATAAATAACACTATAACTTTAAAATAATTTAAACTTCTTGTGCCTACTAGTTGGATATAAACGAACAAATTTTTGGCAAGGGGCTAATTGGATTTCCTATGAAAATCTCTAGGACAGGAATGGCAGAAAGTAGTACTGTAGTGGTAAAGAAATTACATATAGTMAAGCAGAAAGAAGACTCTCTGTGTGAAGACAAAAAAATTTCACCCATTTCCCCACCTCTGTCTTGCAGTTGTTTCTGCAGAAGTGGAAATGACATCTTATGCTCTTCTGACGTACACGCTCCTAGGAGACGTGGCCTCTGCACTCCCGGTTGTTAAATGGCTTTCACAGCAGAGAAATGCACTTGGGGGGTTCTCATCTACTCAGGTGAGCTAACTCTGAAAAATGTCATTTCAACTTGTTAGTAAGTTTACTGCTGTATTCTTTGCTATTGTGATCCCTCCATATTCTCATCTCTAGGATACGTGTGTAGCCCTGCAGGCTCTGTCTGAATATGCAATCCTTTCATATGTTGGAGGAGTCAACCTTACCATTTCCTTGGCTTCTACTAATCTGGACTACCAGGAGACATTTGAGCTTAACAAAATAAATAAAAAAGTCCTCCAGACTGCAGTGGTAGGTGGCTTTGTGTTCATGTCGCCCAATTGCCAGTGTCCTGTCTGGGCTGGGTTCTAAGTGGTAACTCAGATAAGTTCAGTAGTGGCAAAAATGTGGGTTAAACACTGAGCAAGTGCTGGAAAGAATGGGCCTTGTTTGCTTCACTTGTGCYATCTTGTTTAGTACTTGTCCCACTCTTATTTAGTGCTGAAAGATATTTCATGCACAGTACAGCTAGAATGGGTATGAATTTCCATTGAGTGCCTTGTCTTTTCTGTGTCTTAACTGTGGATTCTCCCCAGATTCCCAGTATCCCGACGGGGCTGTTTGTGAGTGCCAAAGGTGAAGGCTGCTGCCTGATGCAGGTAAAGTTGCCACGGGGTGGAAGAAGTGTGCGAGTGGGTGATCTCTAAACTAACACAGTCCTATTTTTTTTTCCCTAATCCCAGCTTGTTAGGAGGAAGGGGTTGTACCTTGAGTTTCTCTCTAAACAATTATATAATGAGGATGTTGCTTTAATTCGTATGAGCAACTATGGTTGTACCAGTGAATTTGATCTGGTACAACTTCATCTGTATGTAATCATCCCTTTACTTGATTAGTTTTGGGCCTACCCTTACCCTGCTCTGAAGAGATCTGACATCCATCCTGGTCTGTGAGGAGCAGTTGCAGACGCTACAGAAGATTTGCATATTGAAAGGCATCTCTGATATATTATTTTTCCCTTTTCTGCTGCAGATTGATGTCACTTACAATGTGCCTGATCCTATTGCCAAACCAGCTTTTCAGCTCCTGGTTAACCTGAAGGAACCAAAGTCAGAGCAGCATCTTCAGGCTCCAAATCTCCTGCGGTCTGTSTCTCCAGATGAAAATCGCTCTGAAGCCTTGCACAGAGAGAGGACACTGGTGGATGATGATGACCCAGCTTCGGATCAGGATCATCAGGAATATAAAGTCATACTGGAGACATGCACAAGGTACCAGGCTGCATCCCACCCTACCTGTTTCTCAGAGAATTGTTGTTCAGTTTTGCCTGTCACCTAACAAAAGATGCTGCTTGCAGTGGTATCAATTTGGATTCCAACTTTATAGTAATGGCACAATATGTGTGGATATTTGTTAACAAGTTCTCTAAGGCTGATTTCTTCTGCATATAAACAGCTGTGCAAGAAATAATGTATGATGCTAAAGCTCCACAAGTTTCATCCCTGGGTCTTAAAACTGGTGGTATCTTTGCAAAGTGAGTTATCCTCATCTTACATGTTGGGAAACTGAAGATATTAAGAGAAAGTAACTTGTCTGTAGATAGCCAGAATTTGGCAAGAATACATTATGCCTGCATTTAATCCACTTATTTATGTTCTGCGTAAACACAGCAGTACTACTGTAGATATTGGGAGCTKAGCATTTCATTACAAATGCTTTGTTTTAAGGAAGTTATAGAAAAGTTGGCTTGAGAGAAGGAAATCCACAACTGGACTAAAGAAAGAGGGTTTAGAGCACCCTCTGCATACCAGAAAATGTTGTTCCTTRGTTTTATAGCCATTCTGCTTTTCTGCAATGAACACAGCAGGTGCTGGGACTGTAGCATCACTTAGCTCAAACAGCAGAAGTGAAGTGAACAGTTCAGATGTAATTCATGGGTATGGAAAATTTTTGCTGCCCTGTCTCCTTCCTTCCTGAGGAGGGAAAACCATGCAGTGAATACAGTCCTGAGAGCACTTAGCTGCAGTGGCTCCAGGCAAAGATGAAATCTTATCTCAGTCCGCACACTTGTCCCTTGCTCACATGTTTTTTTGAGCAGAAGGATGAGTCTAAGGATGGCAAAGGAACCATTCTGAGCCACATCTGTTAGCCCTGAACTAGCTGCCAAGGAAGGATGGTTAAAAGCTGATTATTTGCAAGAAGAGAGAAGCTTTTCTGGGGAAATAGGAAGAGCTTCCTTGCAGCATTGTCATCTCTTCTGCCGTGTAGCAAAGAATGGAAATCTTACGCAATGGCCCAAGTCTTTTTTTCTCTGAAACTTCTGTTTCAGCTGTGATCCATCCTGGGTGGTCTCATGTACCATTTGTTATCTTCAGTTGTGATTTTATTCTCATTCTTTTCTTTCTCTTTTTGTTCTTATTGGAAGATGGCTGCACTCTGGATCCTCTAACATGGCTGTCCTGGAAGTGCCCTTATTCTCAGGGTTTCGTGCAGATATTGAGAGCCTAGAGCAGGTAAGATGTTGCAATGAGAGTCCAAGACACAATCTTCAGCTGGGACCCAGCTCCCTAGTTGGCAGGGATTCTCTCTGGGAAGCAGTAGGAAGCAAATGGCATTGTTTGTTAGAGCATGCTCTGAAAAGATGCATTTACAACTGGGGGAGCAGGAGATTTCACTTGTCAAAAAATGTTTATTTGAAATGAGTAAACAGATGTTCTGAGCAAGACTAACAAATTTACTTAATGTAGCCAAATAAAGGCTTCTTACTGAGCGCACAGCCCACGGTAATTAAATGGGACCCATTTGGAAAAGCTGAAGTGAAAATGTGCCTTAACGGGAGCTGTTTATGGCTTCTTAGTAGGCTGTGTTATCTCCAACATCTGGATTCCATTTCATTGGAGGCTCCRTGTCTTGGAATTTTTTGCCTTTTTTYCCCCCCTCTCTTCCTTCTGGGAGAACATCGTATTTATTGCAAGCCAAACTGAGGTGGACAGAATGTGCCTCTTACCCAGCCAGGCCTCTAGGGGAGATGTACCGTAATCGTATTAGTTTGCTTTAAATTTTGTCAAAGCATTACAAGGTATTCACTTTTTCACTTGTTTTGTTTAATGCTGCTACCCTTTAAGGGTGGTGTAATTGAAGAAGAGTTTAAAGGAACTAAATTTGATCCTTGAGAATYGGTGAAGAGATAAATAGGGTTTTTTTCCAAAACATATCTTTAATAACCTTATCTTCARTATGCAAAAAACAAAAACAAAGAAGAAAAAAAAACAGGAATTTAAAGTAGAATTATAGTCTAGAACAGGCTGATTAACTTGACATCCCATTTCAAAGAAAGTGCGTATTGTTTTGATTTGTCAAGGATTTTACTTGATTTGGCTAATTTGTTTTAAACATTATAGCATTTTCTTGGTGAAAGTGAGGCCAATATGTTCCTTTTCAGGGGCTTACAATCCGTGTCAGAAGCTGTCGGATGGTTCCTATAGGATTGTCAGGAAATGCTGAGAAACGTGCACGTTAGTCTCTGAGAACAAACTTAGATCCTTTCCATATTAAGGAGATATGTTTAGTTACTTACTTTAGAGRTGTATGTTGGTAAGGTAGAAAAGAATTACTGCAAAGGGGAATATCAAGGTTATTTAAAATCCATTTGCAATATATATTTATTATCAAATTCTTTGATTATTTCAAGCACMTGAGTGTAAAATACAGCAATTTTTATTGGCCCATTGATTTTTGAGTCTATTATCGTCTCTCATTTGAGACAAATCGTGCCTTAAACAGAACAGGGCTATTCAGATCAGTCAAGGCTGCTGGTAGGAGGTCTCCAAAATCTCTGTAGTAAGAGAAAGAAGGAAATTAGATGAGGGTCTTGTCATGGTTCTGGTTTGTATTTTATATTTTAACTCCTCCTGCTGAAGTGCTAGAGTGCCAGTTGTTTGTATTGCATTCATATAAGTTATTTTTCACGGTAATTTATGTAAAGAATATCAAGGGTCAGCCAGGTAACCCAGATAGAGACTTGCAAAGCAGACGTGCCTATTTTTATTGTTATTACTGCAAGACAGCCACGTGCAGCAATCTGCTCTGTGCAATGTCCAATGCTTTGCACTAACCTGGAAGACAACTGGGATACGCGATTAACATCAGGCTATACCCTCCTCCAGCAGACTCTAATCCCAGTTCTGCAATGAACTAAATATGTCATCTTTTCAGATCGCTTTGGTTTGCAGTTCCTCTCTTCTCCTTCCTGTGTGTTGCCAAGAATTGGGAAGGATATTGCACCTTCAAGGGGGAGCATTTCCCCTTGAAGAGCTGCATTTCGTCTTCCCTTTTTCAGACATCCTTTATGCTTGTGAAGAAAAAAAAAAAAAAAAAAGGTAGGGACAAAACTCAAACATACAGGTAGACAGTGAAGACCCAGCTATAACTATAGACGCAGCTATAACTTATTCACGGCTACCAAGTTTGTATCCAAATTAAGCTCAGGAAAATGCAGCTCTCCCATTGACGACGTGGTGCCAGTTTGTCCTTTTGGCCACCTTGTTCTGCAGAGGCAAACCCTGTCATTCCCCTTGCTGCATGGTTCCTTCTTATTTTTCTTTTTCTTCCACGAGCCCTTTCCCTCTGCCCCCGGTGAGGAGCAGCAGGGCTGTAAATGAGGTCTCCTTGCCTGCTCTTTGCCCTCACAAGGGAGCAGTGTGTGCAAAGGGACCGCCGTGCAGCTCGGGGCACCGATGGTTAATGAACGCTCCCTTGCTCRGTCCACAAATCCTTCTAATAATGCTGGGTGTCGACAAGGTCAGCAGGTCACTGCAGGCTGGTGTATATCAAGCTTCACCAGAAAAATGCAGCTTCAGCTGAGCTGAGCATTTCCCGGTGGCGCCAGCCTCTCCAAGCCCTCATAAAAGGCCTGTCTGCAGCCCTCTACTGCTGAGTAATAACAGCCACCACCAGGCCCCTAAAATTATAAGGACAAATTAAATTGGCCCTTTCCATATTGTGCGGGACTTAAACACATGTTCCTTTGCTTGTTACAGTAATAGCAGGAAGCTACGTGCAGGATTTTACAACTGGAAGCACTGTGCTGAAGAAATTCACAGCTGAAAAATGCTGGTAACAGGTTTGGGCAAATTGCAATACAAATGCGCTTTGATTCCTGTCACTCTCCCTAATACAGAAAAATACTAAGGTTTTGTGCTCCTTTTTGCAGAGTTTTCAATTGTGGATTCCAAGACAATTTAGAAACAGTTTAAAAAAAAAAAAAAGGGGGCAAAGTAAATATTAGCCCTGTATCACAAACAGAGGAAGGTAATAGAACAGTTTAGGAAAGAGGATTAAAATATCAGCTCTGACTCGCTAATCTTTACTTCACTCCCCAAACTGTGATTCAAACACAGTCCTTTTCCACAGACCATCCTCCTCCCCACTCCCTGGTCTCTACCATTCACATAATGCACTTTTGGGATGGAGTTTATCAAAATGGTGATTGATCCTGTGCTTAAGCATGCCTGACATGCGACAGTCATAACATCAAGATACTGGTTTTCCACAAATAATAAAGATGTAATAGCAGATGGGAAGAGCTCCTAGAGCTTGTTCTGCTGCTGCTCCCCATGTGTGAGGATTTTCCCAATAATTAAAAGACATGAGCAGAGGCGGGCTGTGGACCTGGTCCAGCACATCCTGAAACATCCTGAGCATCAGAGGGAGGGAAGATGATAGCAGAGGCCTGGCCTGATCCTCCTCATCGGGAGGAAGGATGGCTGGGACCCTTTCAAACGGCTGCTCCTTTYGAATGTCAGCATAAATCTTCCTGGCACAAGAATGTTTTTGATTTTTTGGCAGGTGGGAGAAGGGAGTTATGAATACCTGGTGCATTTCAGCACTGTGATTCCCTGGCAGCTCTGAAGGAGTTTGAATAAGAGACTTTTGATCAAGTGTTTGGGCATTTCTGAGGTTTTACTTGAGCTGTGCTACTACAAGCAATCCGAGACTACTTCAATTGAATTATGGATGAGGTGGCAGACAGTGCAAAGGAGGTCCCTGTTCCTCAGGGAGCAGGAAGAGCATTCGGTGTTGTGCACCTTGCAAGCGTTCCTTATGGGAGCATAGGAACGAATGGGGAGTTAATTTTTCTCTCTGATGTCTGAGAGCAGCTTTGACTCTCTTTGCATTTCACCTCTCTTCCTGAGGCATCGTCCTTGCAGCAGGAGAAATCTCTGTCCTCTAGCAGCTAAGCATCCATTTTGGACAAGTCTGAAATCTGTGGTTACAAGATGTTTTCTACAAGATGAAATGAAACTAAACCTGTTCATTTCTTCCCAGTTACTGATGAACAAGCAAATTGGATTAAAAAGATATGAAGTTGATGGAAGAAAAGTACTTTTTTACTTTGATGAGGTAATGAATTTTGGCTTTTTTTCCCCCTATGATTTACTTTTCAATGAAAGGCAAATTACTGTTGGATGAGGTGTAGATTCTGTGTATTGCTGTTGGTGGTCCCTTGCAGATGAGGATCATGATGCAGCTTTAACTGCAGTTGTCTGAGCATCTTTTGAGGTATGAAGGTGGGTGCTGTGTTTTTGGTTGGCAATCAAACTGCAAGGGAGGCAAGTGATTAGCTACAGCAAAAGTGGAATCTCTGGGAGGATGACACTTAATTTTTGCCTCAAAATATGCTGACCTTCCAAGTCAGGGAAYACCAACTGAGTTCCAGGTTTAATTTTCTGACATGGTATGTCAAGTATCTGCTTTAAAGGTCAGCAAAATGTCCATTGGGCCTTTGTTCCCTCCTCTTTCCCTCTGTACCTAGCACTGGAGGGTGTCCTGAGTCTCACAGAATGCCTAGCACAGTGGGTAACATGAGGAGCACGTGCTGTATGTTACTTGTTTCTTCATTTAAAGTGTGATTCTGTTAAAACGAGTCCTTTATATCACTTTATACAGATTCCTAGCCAGTGTATGACGTGTGTGAAGTTTCAAGCTTTCAGAGAGTACATAGTTGGGAAAACAGCTCCTGTTCCCATCAAAGTGTATGATTACTACGAGCCAGGTACGTGCYGCTTCCCTCTGATTTTTGCCATCAAGCAGAGCTGTGGCAATGGGGCTCAATTGTGACTTCTCCATCTTGTTGGCCTGCAGCTTTCGAAGCAACTCGTTTCTACAACGTGAGTGAAAACAGTCCCTTGGCTCGAGAGCTCTGTGACGGGCCAACATGCAATGAGGTGGAAAGCTCAGCTAGCCAATGGGTTGGTAAGTTGTACCAAAGCCTAGCAGGTATTTTGGAAAACGAGACTCAAAGAAATACTGTTTAGGTGTTTAGAACTTAAAATGTTTAGGAAAATACTCTATTGCAGTATCTCTGTTAATAGAAGGTTTACAAATACCTGCATAATAGCAACATTAAACTTAGTACAGCCAAACAGACCAATATAGTCTGGCCTCCTAATGCCAAAGTGATTATTATTATTATTAGCTGCTTCAGAGGCAAGATATCATGTATAATTCTGGAAGAACCTGTCTTAAGTGAGATGAGATAATAAATGTAACTGTAAAGACTTTTTCAGTGCAAATTTTCTTCTAAATATCTTGTAGTAGGGAGCTCCACAGTTAACTGTGGGAAGGTGAAACCTTTTCACAAGTTGGTGACAAGGATGGCTTACCCCAGAAACTGTCATTACCTTTCTATCCTGTATGTTTTACAAAAGAGGATTTTATTGTCTTCTGTCTGGAATCTGCTGCAATCCGGTTCTTTCAAAAAGGGAGTTTTAATCCCATAGCTTCATTAAGTTTGTTACTTCCTATTAGAAGTTCGGCCAGTTTGACTTGAAAGCATATGTGAGAGAAGTAGAAGAGAACTATCACTTTTCATCCCCACCCTGCAAAAATATTGCTTTGATGCTTTTGCTTTCTTTACAGGCTTTGTTCATTCTGGACCATGCAATAACATTTTTGGCTGCCTGGAAGATGAGTATTTTGAGCAATGCATGTGCTCACGAGACTGTGGCTATGACGGGGAGCCTGTTTGTGGATCAGATGGACTGATTTATCAGAACCATTGCCAGATGGAAGTAGCATCGTGCAGGAATAATACAAGGATAGAACAGGTCCCCATGTCTCAATGTTCTGCCTGTAGGTTTCCTTTGGTTCTCTTTTCTGTTACAATCTAGTTTTAGGTCACTACAAATCCTCATTGGTTTCATTAACAATTGATGACCGCTGCATTTGTTTTTCTTTTTTAATCACAGCCAAGAATTTGCCAGAAGAAAGGGAGACCCACTTCCTCACAGTTGAGCAACCCAGCGTTCAACAAACTGCAGCAGGTAGTATCCTACTTTTGCATTTATCCAAGGCCTTTTTTCTTTAAGAGCTTATCATCCTATCGTTCTACAAAAAATATACCTGATTCTTTAGCACACTTAAATAAAGATGTAGAAATAATTTTGGCATGTTTTAGGAAAGACAAAGTATATCTAGAAATCAGATGAAGACATCAAGAAAACTTAGGRTAAGTCTTTGACACCAGTCTAGCTCTTTTGGTCCTTTTCAGGAAAATCTTGCACAACACCTGCTGCTTACAGCACATGTGCAAGATTTAGGTAGTTGTTCATAGAAACTGGCAAGTAACCTTATTTTCTCAGCCTTGGTTTGGTTGAACAGTACAGACTCTGTGATCTTTTCTTCAATATTAACCTGGACGGATCCTGTTTGAAACCAGGTTGATATAATCTGTCCCAACAAACAACTGTTGACAGTTGTCCAGTCTATCTGGACAACAGACCAACCCAATGCAAGAACTGTGAGTCCAGGTGGATTGACTTCACCTTTAGCAGCTCTGTACAAAATTTGAACTGACAGTCTTGATCCGCTCAGAGCTGCTGTTTGGAATAAAGGGCCTTAGTGAGCAAAAATGTTAAGGTCGGTAGATGGAGCAGTCAGGAATTTGGCTGCTCATTTTATTTGGTGCTTACACTCATACTTTTTTTTTTCCAAGACTCATGTCGAACTTCCTCATTGCTCACAATAAATCTCACCAAGAAGCAGTGGAGGGTCAATAGAATAGTTTGTTTCAAGCTGTTTCTAGTAAATAAACTGGACTAGATTTTTCCTGGCTCCTTTCCACTCATTAATTCTCCCCTGGCCTTCCCTCCCAACGAATTGGTAAAACAAGTTAATTCTTCAAGAGAAGTCTCTGCCTTCCTGTGTCCTCTTAGAACCAGAGTTTGGGCTAGCATGTGCCTAAACTTGGAGCMACTCTTATGTTCTTTGCTCTTCTCCTCTACAGAAGTTGACAGGCAAGGTTTTTATTGAGGTATAAAAGCATGATGTGCTCATTTCTACTGGTCGTCTAGTCCCAGAGTGTTTTAGTGCCTTTCCTGTGTTTCCTCCCTTGCAGCCTTGGCTTAATGTGAATATATCTAAGTCTGTTAGAGTATCTGAAATGAACAGATCTCTTTTATTTGGGGCTGATAAAGACTGATAGGTTATCAAAGCAAAAATGACAACTTTTTTTTTTKKKKTKTKTTTTTTTTATACAGGTTGATACATTCTTTAATCTTCATTAATACCCACCTGTGTGCTCTAAGGATGTGTTTAAGCAAAAGCATTTAGAGCTGGCTGTGGGGTAGGATCTAGGAGTATTAAATTAGAGAAGCCTCCTGAAGACAGATGCTCTTCTGAACTGAGCTGTTTGAGCAGCCCTGGCAGAGTGAGCATTCCAAAATGAAACAGGCTAAATCCTGCATCAGGAAAAGCGCCCAGCATGTGATTTTCATTAATCCTCTGGGCTCCCTCAGGTCAGCCACATGGTACATGAATCAAAGTTTAACAAATGAATGAATCTCTCCTTATGCACAGGTCTCATTTGGCCTCGCTGGTTTGTTAGCACTGAAGCATGTGATTGGTTTAAGTCGACTCAGGTGCTCCGGGTTTCTTGTGAAGGTTCAGATGAGCCGTGGCTAAATCTGCGACTTCCTAAAAGGATGCAAAACCTGCAGGAGCCAAATCAAGTTTAGGGCAGGTTGTTGAAACTGCCTCGGTGTGTTAATCTCCAGGAAATACCATTTTCTTGCAGAACCTCGTGGTGTTTATATTGTCTGCAATCCTCCTGCATTTGCCATATGACTTGTGCAGGCTCCGCGCGGGGTGATTGATGCTTTCATTGTTAGTGCTTGTCCAGGTTGCCCAGCAATGGAAACAGAGGCAGCTTCCTTCCATTTAGGAGCTTCCTAATGCATTTTGGCTTCCTCTGACAAGTGCTGCCGTGTGGTATTGCTCTATATACCCTAGGGAGTTGGGTGGAATAACGTTAGCTCATGATTTACCTTCTTCAGGGTAAGCAATCGTGTGTGCATGGTCCTGCAAATGTGGGACTGCCTGCAGCATCTTCATCTAGACAGAGCATTTTATGCTGATGTTGGAAGTCTGCAGCAGATGTTGCTGCAAGCAAGGTAAACTGCTTGCTGGAAACCCAAAGCAGCCTTTCGTGCACAAATAGGTAGGTCCTCTGTGCCTCTTTAGAAATTTTTTATTGATTTAGAGGCAAGTGTGCAGGGTGATGGGACTCAGCTTAGATGAACCTGTCTGAATCCCCCTCCTTGTTTCTTCTTTCTCACAAATGAACTACTGAGACACAGAGATACRGAAAAGGGTTTTGAGCAGGGAGGACCCAACTCTGCCTGCCCTTAAGCACTAAGGCTCTGCTAATAACCTTTCTTAGGGCACTTGTATTTGTTTGGGCTGATAGCTCTTTGGGCAGGATCTTGGTTGATGACCCAGACTGTTTGGATCTCAGGAGCCTTTCTGTCCTTGGCTTTCCCAAGATCTTTGTCACACTAGGGTGCAAAAAATACTGAGTGGATTTTGGAGCCTGGGGAATCCTCAGCATCCCTGACACCCTCTCTGGTGAAGTGGTGCTTTGATTGCTTCCATAGTTCATGATTTCATTCTGAAATTGCCCACATCTCCCCCACCCAAAGTTGTAGGGTTGTCACGTTGGCGGCAGTACTTCATGCGTTGATAGCACAATAATATTGTCATTTTCCAAGCATTTGATGGAAAAGCAGTAAGAAAGCTACAATGCAGCAGAGCTGCTGCCCAGGGCAGCCAGGCCACCCAGCGTCACGYGGCCTGACCTTCTCCCCGCAGCTGGAGCCCCGGCATCTGGACAGTTCTGCTCTGGCAATTAGAAGGGTCAGGAGCTGGAAGCAGATTCTGGATGTTGTTATGATACTTTCATTTGGTGTCATTATTATTAAAAACTTTTAAAAACTGCTGTCACCTCTAGCTCCGGACTGCAGCATCAGAGTGAACTTTGCCTTCAGGTGGAGTCATCCCATGACAGCCCCTCCAAGGCYGTGATTCGCAGCAGCATTGCTTTTTTAGGCTTGATTGCACTGGCTGGGGGCCATTTTTCCTTTCACCCCATCAGTATTGAGCAAACATTGGCTTAGGCACAAACATTCGGAGCGGGGGGAGTGGTTTGTGTGCGACAGGAAATGTCAGCCTTGCCTCTTTGCTTTGCCTCCAATGCCGCCTTCCCAGGCGGAGCGAGCTCTGTGATGTTAATTCTGTCCCTGGTGGACGGCAATCATCCATTCATAGGACGACCTCATGAGTTGGCAGGTTCCCACACGGAGGAGGCCAAGGAGAAGTGAACAATGAGCCTGCCTCATTTCAGGCAAGTGTTCCCTTGCATAGGACTGAGGATGTGGGAGTAGAGCCCTCAGAAACTTCATTTCTGGAGAACAAACATTTTTCAAAGGCTTGGAAGAGTGTTCTCGCTAAATAGAGCRAACTTTTATGGTAAGACTTTTCCTCCCTGCAGCAACTGTATTCAAGGGATCGCTTTAGGCTAGAGCTACTGCTCTAGCTTTAGAAAGCAAATGGGAATGATGGGCAGCCAGCCTGAGGAACAGCTTAGAAAACAGGGAGCTATTAATATTCCTAGAAGTTTTATCTTTCGATCTTATCCTCTGGGCAGCAAGGAATTGCCCCCAGTAAAGAGTAACAACCTTTTATGAGTGGGGAATGCACCGTGTGAGTGACTTGCCAGTGTCTTAACACAGTGGAGGGAGTGCAGTGAGGGTGAATATCTATTTTTACCTGGGATGTTTGTTCCTGAAACAATCCTTGCCTCCATATCCCTGAGATGCATCAGGGGCACGTTACCCATCTATATATGTGTGAACTGAGGTGTTCTACTTGGGACCTCGTAGTGAAATAAGAGGTGCATGCGCAGAGTGCAGTTGAACAAATCCATTGTGGCTGGTGTTTCCAGAGACATCCCTTCCCCTTATTTAGCAGTACACAGATTTCAAGGTGAATTGATTCCTGACTTATCGACCTCAGCTACTGCCTCAAATTAGATGCTCTGAATTCTTATCTGACTTCTCAAATTACATGACAATCCTTCTATTCTGCAATCCCTTTTATTTTATTTTTTTCCCTAGAGAATCTGACAATTCTGACTTACAGGAGCTTCTCTGCTTGCATGTGAATCTAAGTATGCATGTTCTCATTTATGGACATGCGTTTCGTGCCTTACCACTGTGGGGCACTCACTCTGTTCAAGCACATTTGCCTCCCTTTTTAAATTCCCTTCTCTCTCTATCCTTCCTCTTCTCTCCATGCTGCAATGTGTGCTGCTGGAGTGTAATTTCCCGGGCTAAAGCACAACCTGACGCTCTGTGCTTTCCTGTCCAGCAGAGGAAGGCCCTCCGCTACAGTCAGATCTGTCCTATTACTCCTACGAATACGACCCAGACCCCTATGCCTCTGAAGCCGACGTTTTTGAGGTGGTGGCAGAACTGACGACAGCAAGCACGTTAAAAGAAGCAGARCGGATTCAGGAAGTAGTGACCACAGTAGAATGGTGAGCTGGAGAGAGGGGGAATCCTAAACCTGGGTTCAGAGTCATGTGGAACAACTCACGTGTTGGATCAAATGCATTGAAATTATCCAAAGGGACGTTCTGACACTGACTTGCCTTTGACAATGCAAACTTTCTTGGCTCAACAGCATGTAGGTCTTCATGGTCTGAATGTCCCTATCCCTGGCGGAATAAAAAAAAATAACCGTGTAAGCTTTTCTCTGCCCAACTCCAATGATGCTTCACAAAGATAGGTGATGCGAAAGTGACCTTTCTTCCTTATGTTCTCTTTTCAACAGAAATATATAATTTAAATGAAAAGAAGAGGCTTGGGATGAACTCTTGGATGAGTTTGTTCCCACAGATGACCTGCTGCAGAACAGAAACCAAATGATGACTACTTCCTGCTGCCCTCAGAACTGTAGGCTTTGTTGCCCCATGGCGGGAATCTGGAGCTCTAGGGGGGACACTCAGCATTATTTTTGTCAGCTTTCCTGCCTTTTGTGCATCACCTTAGGGGTGTTTCCAAGGATGTGAGACCAGTATGCTGTTCCCCTTTAGGCGAGAAAAATAGGGGCTGGAATTTGAATCTTTAGGCCGTTTTGAAATGTTTTCTCTGTTTCCAATATTCTACAAAGGCCATTTCCTAGCTCCACTTAGCAGCTAAGTCCAAGGCCTTGTGCTTAACTGAACTGCTGTTTGAGGAAAGATGGCTGAGAAGTTTTCTCTCAAATTATTATTATAATAAAAGTCAGTGTTTYGCTAATTGCAACATAGCAAGAGGCTAATCATCTTCCCCAGCCCACAAGCCCACTGTACCCAGAGCACTGTCTCGCAAGAGAAAGACTTTCCCAATGCCTCCATGTTCATCAAGGTTGTTTGGAGGGCCATTTCACAAGAGAAATGAAATCTCCTGTCAGACTGACAGGGCTGGAAAGGGCTTTTCAGGTTTTGGCAGGCAGGTTGTGAGCCAAAGCAGCAACGAGGATCAGGCAGGTGAGCCCCTTCGTGTTGCATTACCACGTGCTGGTGAGGAGGAGGCTGCATGCAGCCTTCTCAGCCCTGCAACCCGCTTTCCTCCTTGTCACCCTGGCAGGACAACACAACTGACCCAAGGCAGACTCCTGTTAAACACTTGCCCCGTTTCACCAATCACGTTTATTCTGCTCCCACCAGGGCCCTCCTGTGATGGTGCTTCTGGATGTGGTTGACTCTGTGCATAGTCCATATGGCCCTGGGTCTGCTGGCCAGTGCAAACCACTCTGGTGTCACAGAGGCTGGACTCCCACAGCGTGACCTGCCCCAAGCCATGTGGTGAAATGAGAAACAAAAGCTTTATGTCTCCCAAATTTGGGGAGCCAACATTTTTTGGTTTCCCTTCTTGCCTGGAGCAGCAGCATCCTCTTTGGAGGAGTTGCATGAAATTGCCTGTTGCAAAACAGTGTTAATATTTTATCCTCCCGCTTCTATTGTTACCAAGACCCAGAGTGGGGTGGAAACTTCGTTTGAGAGTGTTTATTGGTGAATGGAAACAGGAAAAAGCCCAACTCCATTCATTTTTAGGGCTTATTTACACAGGAACCATGACAAAATTATATCCCAGTACAGACATTCCATTCCAGAATAAAAGCAATTTTATTCCAGAAAAATGTCCACATGGGGACCAAACAGGAGGTATCCCAGAAGCTGGGTATATGTAGCTTGCAGTCTTTTTTTCTGGGGCCAGCTATTTGCAGAATGTAGCTGTCAAGATGAAGGTCTGGGTCTTGAAATTCCCAGAAATTTCAGAGCTGCTTTTCTGGCAAGCTTTCAGGCCTTCTTTCACGGCTCCTCTGAGCTCTCCTCGCAGAACCCTGATGTGGCTGCTGCCCCTGTGTACCCGCTGCTTCTCAGCAGAGGCTCTGGCCACGTCTCTTCAGTGTGCGGGAACAGACCACGTCCTCGCTGTGTCCCCACAGCACAGCGGAAGCGCTGGCGGCCGCATTCCTCTCTGGCAGGTAAATAAATGCCTTTAAACTAAATTCCATCTCCATGTAAGCAACGGGTCTGGCAGATGCTGGCTATTGTGTACACACACAGGCCTGAGTCAATATTTATGCTCGGAGTAAATAACAGACCTAGTGTAAGATGCAACAAGATTTTTTAAATTTTCCCCTAAACAACCAAGCTGTGCAGCACAAGCCCTGCTGTTTGCTGGTTCAAACCTCAGTTGTTTATCCTTGGAGTCTGGGAGATGGAGACATTTAGTCACCCTGCTAGTGTCCGTGTGACTAGCTTTCCCCTGAAGATAGGACCTAAGCTCTTTGTTCTCAAACCTCCTGTCATTAGTTCCTTTCTGGCTTTAGTTTCCTTGTCTCAGCCTTGTCTTGGGTTTTAAATAGATCTTTGAAGTCATTTTATATTGCTTGGTCCTCTCGGATCCTTGGATAGTCAGACAGCATCACCACTGGGGACAAGGAGATGAAGGTAGGGAGCTTCAGCCGAGCACTAATTTCAGTTTCCTTCATTTTGGGCTTTGTTACTGTGATGTACCAGTTCAAGCTTCAAACGTTTTCCCCTGAAAATACTGAATAATTTTTTCTTGTGGTACCAGCCTTGTTCTGCAAGGTCCCTTTGTATCCATGCACTAACCTGCTTGGGTCAGGAGAGTCTTGCCTCTTTTATCACCAGAGGAATCGCCAGAGAGACGTGGGTTCTCCAGAAGAATGAGGCAMAGCAGGCTTAGCATGTGGTTAAGTGCAAGTGGTTAGAGGAGGACACACGAGCTCTGGTGCCAGAGCAATTTTGGAATTGTGGATGCCCCTCTTCCTCTATCACAAGCACAAGGACATCTCAGCASTGAAAACTTGGGCTTTAATTTTGGGAACATCAGCCCTTCATAGTTTGGGGAAAAGGCATTGATAGGTCTGTGTTTTTTTTCGCCAAGGAGGAGAATTTGATGGTGGAGAGCCAGCCAGAACGGCCARGCTGCTGCTCCTTTGGGCTTTGAATTGTTTCTGTCTTGGACATGCTTGCCTGCCTTTGTCAGAGAGATGCTTCTCCTTTCCTTTCTCTGATGGTCCCTCATTTCAAAAGGAGAAAAGTGCCAATAAGTTTGTATGACACAGAGATTTCTACTTGCATCACGTTATGTTACTGACTAGCTGCAGCAGTGCTAGTTACCAGCGATTTTTGCTTGCAATCCTTTTGATGAAATGAATATTTATATTTGTAACTGTACATTATGCAGAGTAATCATTGCCATGATATTTATTTTAAAGTATTAGTTTCCTTGTCCATTCTTGTCCGTGTGTTTTGATCTTGTCCCTCTTCCTCCTTAATGATCCTCAGTAGAAAACAAGTATCAGAAAAACATTCAACTTGCAAGAACATCATTAAAACAACAGCACTTGCTTTGCTGACACTATTTAATGCACAATAACCTGGATTTAATTATTGTGATCATCTGCTTAGTTCCTGAGTGGCAGTAGCCCTGGCTTGCAGCTTCGCTCCACCAGGTCTCCTGCATTCAGTAGTTGGCACCTCCTTTACCTTTCCAGTACTGCACCCTTAGGCTCTAGTTTTCACCAGCATTTCACCCCACGCATATATGTACACACAAACAGTTCTGTGACAACGTTTGTCACACAAATCGTAGCAAGTCTGAGTCCAGAAAAGGATTTGTTTTAGATTCTGATAAATATTTTATTAAAAACTGGTTTTAAAACACTGCTGTCTGCCTCTCTTCATTCRCCTTGCAGGCTCTAAGCTTGTTAGATCGCAGATTATGCTGAGGAGTCATCCCTGTGCCACTCGAACCAAAGACTTCAGGAACCCTAAGGAGGTTTATTGCTCCTGTTCTACCTTGCTGTTCCCCAGGTTGTGCCCTAGTTGCTCTGAGGGAGGAGCTGGCTGTAATTTATGAAGTTCATATTGTGGTTCCAKCTTGTTGCTCCATCATCTGCTTCATCAGAGAAGGTTTTTGGTTCCGTATGACATTGCACAAAGGAAATGTAAAGTTCCTGAGTGAGGGTTTCCTAAGTTCCATCTTTTAATTGCTCTAGAAGGGAAGTATTAAACTTTTTCATTCATATAGTCTTTGCCTTGGCAATTACAGCTGCTAAAGGTCATCTGTGAAAATGGCAATGAATGAATGTGATTTTTTACATTCCTTCCCAACAATAGGCTGACATGGCTGTGGTGTTAATTACTAGTCAAGGCAGGAATGCAATTGCTAAAGAAGCTGGAGTTCTGCGCTCCTAGCAGCATGCTTTAACTCAGGGGAATATCTTTTACCCAGGCTTCTCCTTGTCCTTTTTGCAATGTTTAGAAAGTTGATTTTGCAAGTGTCTGTTCTTTTTCAGCTCAGGTGAAGTGTATGCTCAAGGACCGCAAGCAAGGCAGTAGCAGAGAAAGAAATAAAACACAGGCAGCAACCAGGCTGTAAGCTGCGTTAGGGAAAGCAGCCCTAGCTGCATTGGCAGGAGGGCCCTGGCAGCGTGTGAGCACGTGAGAAATTGCATACAGAGAACAGACGTGCGTGTGTTCATAATAGAAAGCTGCAGCTTCTATGGCCTCTACACCTCCCAGGAAAGGCTATGGCCAGCCCAACCGTGCCCAGCCCCTGCAGATGGAAGACCCTGTCTCTTATGTGCTAGGACTTGTCTCCTGGAAAACACTGCTTCTGGGTGCAATTTGTGGTGTCTCCTCGCTGCCTTTTGTCTCGCTCCAGTGTGCTCCCAAGGCACTCATGAAACAGCGAGCTGGGGTGGAGGCTTCATGCCAGCGAATCCTTGGAACTTTTTGGAGGGAGTGTTTCTTTGGATGTCTTTAGGGACGTAGTGGTGGGTTTGCTGCTGTTGAAGAACCTTCTCCTCACCTTATCCCGAAAGTCCTCYGAAACGTAGTAGTAGACGAAGGGATCGGCGCAGCTGTTGAAGGTGCTGACGGCCAAGCTCACCATGTAGCTGACGTAGAGGTTGCCGCGCAGCTTGGAGCAGGAGCTGGAGTAGTGGACGAGCAGGAGGATGTTGCTGGGCGTGTAGAAGGCCACGAGCGTGAGCAGCACGAGAGCCGTGAGCTTCGCCGAGTGCGAGTAGCGCTTCCCGCTGCGCAGGAGGGCCCGCAGCACCGCGCCATAGCTGAGCACCGTCACCAGCAGAGGAGCCAGGAAGGCGCCCRCGACGAGGCAGGCGAAGTAGTAGAAGAAGTAGCCGTCGTCCTGGCGCCGGGGGAGGACGTCGTGGCACACGGTGACGTCCCCTCCGTAGAGGGGGTACGACTGCCGCCGCAGCGCCAGCGGCAGCGTGAAGGCGGCGGCGCAGAGCCAGATGGCCGCGCACACGCGGGCGGCCAGCGTCGACGTGCGGAAGGAGCGCGAGAAGAAGGGGTGCACCACGGCCAGGTAGCGGTCGACGCTGATGCAAGTGAGCAGCAGCACCGAGCAGTGCATGTTCCCGTAGAAGAAGGCAGTGCTGAGCCGGCACAAGCCTTCCCCGAAAGGCCAGTGGTGCCCCGAGAAGTAGTAGGACACCTTGAAGGGCAGCACCAGGACGAGGAGCAGGTCGGCGGYGGCCAGGTTCATCAGAAAGACGGTGGACGGGAGCTTCTCGGCCCGCGTGGCCAGCACCCAGAGGGCCAGCCCGTTGGAAGGCAGCCCCACGAGGAAGACCAGGGTGTAGAGGCAGGGGATGAGGCGCACCGTGACCGCGCTGGCCAGCTGCGCGCGGGAGGCCGCCTGCATCACCAGGTACGTGCTGTTGTCTATGGTCACCTCTTCTCCGGGAAGGGCGCGAGGACACGGCGCGTTCTCCGGTGTTGACGGCTGCTCATTGGTGCCGTTCAGGGAATAATCTGCCGGGACAAATGTCTGTTATTTGCTGTTTGTGCAGTGCCCACGTGCTGGCGCTTTGCAGAGCRGGCTGCATACATAAGTCCTCAAACACTGAGGGGCTGCATTTTACGTTGGGGTCCTGGGAGGACATTCTGCAAACTGTATGACAGGCCTGACAGAAGCCAAAATGAGGAGAAAACCGCCAGTTTCTCACCACTCACACATGATTTGCGGGCCGTGCAATTATCACGACAAGTGCTGTACAATTACTGAGAGYGCTTTCCTCGTGCAGGAGCCCCCCCAAAGTAGCTGTGGCTGCAGGAGCCCAACTTTGAGCTATGGGCTTTGCTTGCAAGGGCTCCTTGGCTTGCTCCTTCCCTGGCATGTCCCACCCCACTTTCCTTCTCTCCTTTTCCACAAGTATCATCATCATCTCCTGCTTCAGTTAGAGCCTGTGCCCATCTCAATTAAAGAGCATCCGAATCGTAATTTTACAGAAAGGAGTTTTTGGGGATCGTGGAGAGCATACAAGGTATCCAGCACTTCCAGAAGGAGGAGTTTTCACCCCAACACTCACCGTCGTAGTCCGGAGAGGCCAGGCAGAGTCCGCAGAAGGCCCAGCAGAGGACAAGCCCGTGTGACAGCCCTGCCGCGCGGAGGGTCCCCATGCTGGAGCCGGGGACRGCGTTTCGGAGCCTGCTCCCGCCTTCCCTTCCGTCATTCCTTAACTGGCGGGAGCACCGGCCTCATCCCGCCGTGGGACGGATGAGCCGTGCGGGGGCCATCGCGGCCTTCCCCGCGCTTGGCTCCTGCGTCAGCCGCGGCCACGGTGGGAGGAGCGGCTGTATCCGGAGCCACGGGACGACCCTTGGTTGAGGTGACTCACTTGGGCCTCCTTCCGCCTCCAGAATATTCCTGGAAATGCCAAATGTGGCCCGGCTTGACGCAGCCTGAATTTGGTTTAGAGGATGAACCGAATCCACCGACCCTTAGTATCTCCCCCATCATAAGAGATGGGTCTTTCCCCACCACCCTGTTGCAGGAAGCTCCCCGCACTGTGACAAGGTATCATCTCCCCACAGACACACAGGGGAAGTCCTGGAGAGCTTCAGATCCAGACGGAGCCCTCAGCACCCGGCATGGGGAGGCCCGGGGCTCCTGAGGCCTCGCGTGGCCCGTTCATGGTTTCCAGTTGGTGCCTTGGAGCCCCTGGTCAGCTTGGGCCTTCAACAACCTCCTACAGGATCCCCTGTTTCTCCTCTTCAAGCTCCTAGACTGGGGACAGAGCTCCAGCAGCTTCCTCCTTGGCCATGCTGCAGAGCTTAAGTAAGAGCCCTTAATTAGAAGCCTATTTACATGGCAGGGAATCAGCAGCCTGGAGGCTGGAACAAGGGTGGCGAGGACTTGAGCTCCACGGAGCCCTGCGCTTCCGCTGATAAATTCCTGGGAGCGGGGAGAGCAGCTTTCCAGCAGGAAAGGGGTGCGCCAGGGCCCCACAGGATGTGCCTGCTGCTGAGCTGATAATGGTGGGTTTCAAGTGTTTGTTCAGAGAGGTGCAGACTCCAAACCCAAGGGACTGGAGCCTCCTCCTTGTGAACTAACACCATGGAGCAGCTGCTCTTGCTCTAGGGAGATGATCCACATAGGGCTGCAAGAAGGACCCTTTTGGGCTGGCTGATGCTACCTGAACCTCTAGGATCCTTGGCTGTTTGAACCCCTGTTTCTTTAGCTCTTTGGGAGTGCAGATGTCTTCCGACATCTTCAGATGCTTCCAAGCATCTTGCTGGGGAGGTCCCATGTCCTCTGTAAAGGCCCCATAGCCACTAGCTCCAAGTGATCAAGCAGAGTGGGAGGCCGGAGCTTGGGAAGGCTGCTGGGTTTGGGACTTTTGTTCTCCAGGCTCCTGCCTGGCTCTGCAAGGGAGGAAACACAGAAGCTGGAGGCCGGGCAGTAGGAACTGTGAATTTGGTTTGGCAACCCCAGCAATCCTTGGTTTCTTTCTGCTCAGCTTATGAATGGCCTCTTCTGTGAAGGCTGCAAATCTGAGCCTGGCTGCTGTTTGATGAGATTCTTCTTTTCCAAGGAGAAAATGATCCTATTTCCTTTGCTTTTGCCGAATTCTCACATCCCTGGGCCGAGCATGTCGAGAGGTGGAGTCCCACTGGCAGGGACAGGGAAGATGCAATGTTAGATGTTTTGCTTTTTGTGAATCTCTCAGGATTTACGAACCATTACAGAATGACTCATGTGGCCGCATATTTTCCATGCCTCAACCAGGATCCTTTCCATGCTCTGCATGCAAAAAAAATTAGACATAATCAGGTTCAGATAGTGTGCAAATTGCAGCCCTATGGCCGGGGCTCTGGAGCGGAGCCAAGAGAGGTCACTCCTTGCTGTAGCCCTCGTTTTTGAGATGCTCTGTGTTCCTTAGTGCCTGCCTTAGGTGCGGAACGGCTTCCTTGCAAAGCCGAAGGCCGGAGCGTTCCGCACCTCGGCCCCTCTTCCCAGCGGCACCGTCGCCCCTGCTCTCCCTCGGCCGCCCTGAGATGCCCGGGAGTTGTGGGGCCTCTGTCTCCTTCTGCTTGTCCCATTCCATGAGGTCCCTCCCACTTCCAAATCCCAAATCTTGGGAGGTCATCTCATAAAAAGCATCCAAATAAATATGAAAATACATATGAATAGGGAGCTTCTATGGAGCCATCATTTGGGAATATTTGAAGTGTATTAGCATCAGTACGATTCAYGGCGTATTCTGGAATAGCTTCTTTGGAGTTTTCCTGCAGAAGATACTGGCAGCAAGGGGAGGACAGACCCTTTCATCCCTTCTCAGCATTGAGCTYGGTGTCTCAGCACCATCTCCTTGGATTCATCATGTAACACAGGTACAACTGAGAATTGCTAAACTCAGAAGTTTAATTTTAATGAGTGGGAAATGGAGGGTACCCTTCGTGCTGCTCCGAAGGAATGGCTAAAGCATGAAGAAAATCCCAGCTCCTATTTACACACACATAATTCTAGCTTGTCCCAGCAGTTTACAGTCCTTCTCTTTGTGCATCATTGTGAGATGAGAACGTGTGAGAAAGAAAAGCCCTGAAACCCAAGATCCTGAATTCAGGTACTCCYTTCAGCGTTTCTTAATTGAATTTAGAAAACCATTAGTTCTTATCGCATCCAACAAACTTGACAGATATTTTTAAGCTGTCCTTCCTCACCGTTGCCAAATCTGTCCATTGCTGAGATCTCCAACTGCTCTTGGGTGATGTCACATCTGGCTGTCCCTTTGCAGGCCCTATTGCCTCCCTCGGAGCCCAGGGGCCCTTCTCGTTAAGAGGAATCCAAGATCTCCAAGAGGAGACTTTTGTGCAAATTGTGCTCTCCGAGACCCCCCACCCACCATAATTTTTATCAAATTAGTCCAYGCAATTTATGCATCAGAGGATTGCTATTAGCAGAACAATGGGTCGTTTCCCTGTGAGCAAATAATACGCTGAACAGAAAGGAGAGTTGCCTTTTGTTATGGCAACGGAAGTGTTGAGGATGATGTAAAGGAGACTCCTATCAGATCTGGGTCACATCACTGTAGCTTAATTTGCAAAAAGCTACGCATTTGTTTGTTGTGCAGAGCTCGCAGGGAGCAGTTAAACATGTTATTACCCAGGAATTTGGGGAGGTTGAGGGAAAGGCGGGTGGAGGGTTATTTTCATGGTTGCAGTTGTGTTGTTTTAACCTGTAGCAGATGTGCTCATGGATTTCGGAACTGGAATCGGGCGCACGCTYGAGTGTCTGCTGTAGTTATTGAGTACTTGGGGGTCAGACCTGGACTCTGCTTTCACCCTACGCGTCTCCTGGTGAAGGTGCTGCTCCAAATAACCAACCTGCAACCAGAAACGCGTTATTGGCRCTGCAAAACGTTGCCTTTGGAAACCCCTCGTCTCCATGCGCAGCAAGTCTGCCACCCCCTGGCCTTTCATGCCCTTGTTTGATTAGGAGCCTTTGCTCCCAGAGAGGTCGTGGCCACGTACAGTAACTAGAGTTGCAGGCACTAACTTCTTGCATGGGATCTCCTCCCGTGGGCGACTTGCAGGGAGGTTATTTCGCATTTCACCCAGCTTGTGCACTGCCCTCCTTCCACGTGCTGCTCATAGCATCAGCTCTGCTGCCTGCTGCTCCGTGGGACGTGAGTTGGCCCATGGCTAAATGATTAATCTCTGCATAGTGCCCTGCACCTGCTCAAAGGGAGGTTCTTTTTAGTTTTTCAGTCACATTTTTGTACTGAAACTGAATTTTAAACAATACAGGACAATCAGGTCTAGGGCTTGTCAGCAATTCCAAAGCGATTTAGAACAAAGGACTCGGTGACAGCGGCAGACTTTTAAAATCAATATTTTATTTTACTTGAATGTGCAAATAAATATATATATATAAAAAAAAACCCTACATTCAAAGAGCTGGCAAAGCAATTACAAGCCCAAAAGCAAAGATCCTTCAAAAAAAAAATATATGGAAGAACAAACTCTTGAATCTGTGTTGTGGTAGCAGATACCCCTGTTAAACCCTCAGGGAGCAACGAGCCCCTCTCAAACCTGCACTSCCTGCATCCTGTGCTCGCATCATTTGCCACTATCACTTGGAGACAGTACCGCTGTAAGGGGCAAAAAGTCTCACTTAATCTCTTCAGATTATAAATTAAACTTTGCAAAATCAGGATGCTTAAAAAGACCTGAAGTACACTTAAAAAGGGGGAGATGAAACAGCATCTTACACCTTGGGAAAGTTGGAATTGAATGCGTTTCAAGCCACAAGCTGCAACCTATTGACTAACAAGCGTTTGTCTYATAAAAACATAAAATTTGGCACGGTTGTCCTCTCCACTGAAGGCWGCAGAGAGGTGCAGGGGCTGAGGTGTGTCCTGCTGCACCGTCTGGAAGCAGAGGGGAGCCTGTGCTGTGCCCTGGGCTTGTCCCCCTTGGCCCCAGCTCTCCCGTGGCTACCTGCTCCTGCGGGTCGCGCTCCGGTACCTCCTCCTGTCCCACAGCACGGGAGGAACCATCSGATCCTTTCAGGAAACAAAATGAGGACACTGAGAACATGAATTCCTGGTGAAAAGCCCTCCACTGGCAGGGGTTGTGCAAGTGGCCCYGCATGCCAGGAGCCTGGCTCCCTCCCTCCTATGGATTATTTTGCAAAAGAAGACAAAAGAGTTGGTAGAGTTTGCTATTAAATGTACCCCCAAGGCCAAGTTTTCTACTGTCAAAATGAGACAATTGCAAAACCAAATGTTGTACAGTGGAAATAACCCAGGACAAATCCTACAGGCTGCTACTTAGGACTGGCAGAAATTATAACCTAAAAATCAAAGCCACAAAAAGTAATGGGAGGTGGTTTATTCTCCTAAAAGCCAGGAAAAGGTGGAAGCAGAGCTGAAAGGAGGCTGGACCTGCCTCAAGACGTTACGTTTGTTACACACTCCATGGTTTGCTTGTCCTGGGCTCCTGAAAAACGAGTGAAGTCACAGCGGGGTTTCCGAACAGACACAACTGAGTCTTCTTGATGTTCAATAGCTTTAAGTCACACAATGTAGGGTTCTGCACGCTTCTAGGGACTTTTTGTACTTTTTTTTYYKGTTTTTTTTYCCAAAAAAACTTAGATAGAAGTACAGATGGTTCAG